TAGCTTGCCTTCTTCTTCTCAGAAACATCGCAAAAACGATTTGTTGAACAAGTTGGTATTGTTTTGCTTTTAATCAAAACGCCAGCTCTCTAATCTATGGCGCAATGAGTTCATTAGCCAGTGTAGGAATATAAACTCGTTTTTGCGTGTTGCAGACTTCAGTTCCTCAATGAGTCCATGCATTCTGCATAGTTCAGATAGTTGTTGATGAATACCTAAAGGACCCGGCGGTGTAGTCAATCGATAAAAATCGGTATCGATAAAAATCCGTAGCAGTCTGAAAGTGATTTTTATCGATTGATAACGGAAATCGGTGAAAATCGACAAACTAAATTGCTGTGTCAAATCCATATTATCGATTTTCATGATTTTAACGATTTATACCCGGAAGTCTGCCATTGTTGTTTATTAGGCATCAGTTAGGTAGTACAACCGAAAAAGCACATTCACGAGTAACAAATGATCCACAAAATGAAAATACCGTAAATACCGTAAATACAGTGTGGAAACTGTTACAATCACAACTTATGTATCTTGTACAGAAGTATCATCCGATACTGAAATCGATGAAATGGGTAAAAATCGAGATAAATCGATAAACGAAACGAGTGTGTCATCGATTTCTATCGATTGATCGATAATCGATATCAATCAAATTAGATTTACCGATTTTTATCGATTTATCGATTGACTACTCCGGGGAAAGGAGTGTAACCCATGAGTTGTTCTGTTACTGTATGTTTAATCCTGCCCCGCAGATTATGAGTAGCATTCCTTATTTGACACATTCCACTCAGTTAATTCGGCATCGTGACACTTATCTTTGCCTTAAAACTATGATTATCATATCATGGCACTTGGTACTGTACAAATCACTATAATTTATCTCACTTAAAAGTTCCTGGTAAGGCATTAAATTTCTGGTTGAGAAAAATCCTGATCGGCTTTTTCGGAGCCCTACAAAAGTGCCAACTGAAACTGCCGAACAATATCTAAAATATCATATGGAACAATGAAGGCGTTATACATTTTATTTTTTAATGCTGTTGGAACTATACTTTGAAAACGGAAAATCTCGTTTACCTGATGTATTATTGGCTTTGATACAAATATTCTTTAAACACATGACCGATAAACTATCAGTTTCTTGTCTGACAATATTCTCTCCTAGAAGATCACAGGCTATACTGAGTAGATTGATTAACTAAGAAGGAAATCTCAAAGCAACCGGTCTGCTATGAATTGGCTTTTTTCCACATAAATTCGCCAAATTTAACGATTTTAGCAAAAAACAAAGGTTTTTAAACTAAAAGGAAGGCAATTTTCGTGTTTTATGTCACCCCTTTCTGGGGCTTTCCTGGAAAGTTAGCCAACCGTAATTCTATGGGAAAGAAACACGTTTTAAGGTGAGCAACAAAACTAGATTTAGAAGAAAATGAAAAGAAAGACAGAAAAAGAGCAAGGAAGAAGGATCGGACAGATACAGCTTGATCTTCCCACATGAAATTAGCCTTGTAGAAAAAAGGAAGACATTTCAAGACCCTTCAGTACCCCCGTGTAGCAGAAACGTGCTTAACTGCAAAAACACTGGTACAAGCAGGTACTTCGCTGTAAAAACCGATTAAACTCGCGGATGACGAAAAACATTAGAAAACTGAACATTCTCAATAACAGAGAATTGAAAAGCAATGTCTTTGTTTCTTACTCGGACGTTAATCTTAAAAAGAGGTTTAGTAGACACAGTTCAGTAGGTTTCAGTCCACTTAAAGCATGGTTTGCGCTTTTTTTGTTTGTTTGTTTAACTCAATGCAGCCCACAATCAAGTTATTCTACAATGGACTCATGCCGATCAGCGGACAACGTGCGCTTGAAGTTGTCCACTCACCTTGAAACTATTCGATCAAAAATCGCCAGGGGAATGCTCGTGCTATTCGTTGGTGAACAAGCTTCAGCGTTAACTTCCCCTGACAATCCCTATCCTTCACTGGATGATTGGTGGCAGGTTATTAACCAATCAGAGGTAAGAGCTGTTTGAAACTCCGAAATACGGCCCGGGGGTGATCCCTATAATTGCCTTTACCAAGAGAGAATGATCTAGATTATTCTCTCTTGCTTATACGTGGAGGCTCCACCCAAAATGGGTACCATTATCGGGCTTCAGATTTATGAAATGGTGAGGAAATCTGTTATTTCGCCCTGTAAAAAGACAACTGTACTAAATATTATGATCTCTTGTCCTGAACCTATTTTGCTATCATCCTGACATTTCTGCTCCCAGACACTACAGCCGAGCCAAGAAACTTTCTCTCTTAGTGATCTTTTAAGCCGCGAAACAGTGACAAGGTCAAAACTGTTCGTTTAAGGAAAAGAGAGAGAGAGAGCCATTGAGAGAGGGGTATATGTGGCTTCGTGCCCACTTGGTGACGCGAAACATCATGTTTCATGTTGTTGCAAGACGAGCTTCTCTTCAATGAAATTTCGCTGCTTGCTTCTTCGTACATAAATCGTCTGGGATATCGAGCAAGAAATAACTCATAGTTGAGGTAAGAATAGTAAAATAACAACTTCCGGGTCGACGTCAATGGCTTACCGTAAATTTTGATTTACTGAGTCGATTTTGGACTCAAAACGCCTTCGTCTTTGCTTCAAATAGGCAAAATTTCTAACATTAAACAGCAAAATTGGAGTGTATCTTTAAAGGAGACCTAAATTTGCGGGGTTTTGTGGTGGACATACTCGGGCTTTCAAAACGTCGCCATGTTCTGATCAAGAGAACAGCATAAACAGATCTCTTGGTTCTGATGCTACCCTCAAGCGCTGCGCTGGTGCATAGTTAAGGCCCGGGCAGTGTACATGTAATATAATCAAACAGGTCATTCTCTGCAGGTTAACGGTTATATTACGAGTTCGATTGTTAGAAAAAGAATACGAGCAGGTATTACGCGACGCGATTAATTGTTTTTGTAGATTCTTCGCCAACAAGCATTCTCAGACATTCGATTCTATGCAAAAGTTTCGTTGAAAATTTATATACGTGCACCTTTATTTAAGCAAACTTCAATTCACGATGACGTAGTAGTTTGTTTGCCACAGAGAAACAACTACATTTGTAATTTTTGCCCTTCAAATATCCATTTCGTATTTTGTGGCCGGTTCTTTCCTGGAAGAACACAATTGATTAGCTTGCCTTCTTCTTCTCAGAAACATCGCAAAAACGATTTGTTGAACAAGTTGGTATTGTTTTGCTTTTAATCAAAACGCCAGCTCTCTAATCTATGGCGCAATGAGTTCATTAGCCAGTGTAGGAATATAAACTCGTTTTTGCGTGTTGCAGACTTCAGTTCCTCAATGAGTCCATGCATTCTGCATAGTTCAGATAGTTGTTGATGAATACCTAAAGGACCCGGCGGTGTAGTCAATCGATAAAAATCGGTATCGATAAAAATCCGTAGCAGTCTGAAAGTGATTTTTATCGATTGATAACGGAAATCGGTGAAAATCGACAAACTAAATTGCTGTGTCAAATCCATATTATCGATTTTCATGATTTTAACGATTTATACCCGGAAGTCTGCCATTGTTGTTTATTAGGCATCAGTTAGGTAGTACAACCGAAAAAGCACATTCACGAGTAACAAATGATCCACAAAATGAAAATACCGTAAATACCGTAAATACAGTGTGGAAACTGTTACAATCACAACTTATGTATCTTGTACAGAAGTATCATCCGATACTGAAATCGATGAAATGGGTAAAAATCGAGATAAATCGATAAACGAAACGAGTGTGTCATCGATTTCTATCGATTGATCGATAATCGATATCAATCAAATTAGATTTACCGATTTTTATCGATTTATCGATTGACTACTCCGGGGAAAGGAGTGTAACCCATGAGTTGTTCTGTTACTGTATGTTTAATCCTGCCCCGCAGATTATGAGTAGCATTCCTTATTTGACACATTCCACTCAGTTAATTCGGCATCGTGACACTTATCTTTGCCTTAAAACTATGATTATCATATCATGGCACCCGGTACTGTACAAATCACTGTAATTTATCTCACTTAAAAGTTCCTGGTAAGGCATTAAATTTCTGGTTGAGAAAAATCCTGAGCGGCTTTTTCGGAGCCCTACAAAAGTGCCAACTGAAACTGCCGAACAATATCTAAAATATCATATGGAACAATGAAGGCGTTATACATTTTATTTTTTAATGCTGTTGGAACTATACTTTGAAAACGGAAAATCTCGTTTACCTGATGTATTATTGGCTTTGATACAAATATTCTTTAAACACATGACCGATAAACTATCAGTTTCTTGTCTGACAATATTCTCTCCTAGAAGATCACAGGCTATACTGAGTAGATTGATTAACTAAGAAGGAAATCTCAAAGCAACCGGTCTGCTATGAATTGGCTTTTTTCCACATAAATTCGCCAAATTTAACGATTTTAGCAAAAAACAAAGGTTTTTAAACTAAAAGGAAGGCAATTTTCGTGTTTTATGTCACCCCTTTCTGGGGCTTTCCTGAAAAGTTAGCCAACCGTAATTCTATGGGAAAGAAACACGTTTTAAGGTGAGCAACAAAACTAGATTTGGAAGAAAATGAAAAAGAAAGACAGAAAAAGAGCAAGGAAGAAGGATCGGACAGATACAGCTTGATCTTCCCACATGAAATTAGCCTTGTAGAAAAAAGGAAGAGATTTCAAGACCCTTCAGTACCCCCGTGTAGCAGAAACGTGCTTAACTGCAAAAACACTGGTACAAGCAGGTACCTCGCTGTAAAAACCGATTAAACTGAACATTCACAATAACAGAGAATTGAAAAGCAATGGCTTTGGTTCTTACTCGGACGTTAATCCTAAAAATAGGTTTAGTAGACACAGTTCAGTAGGTTTCAGTCTACTTAAAGCATGGTTTGCGTTTTTTGTTTGTTTGTTTGTTTGTTTGTTTGTTTAACTCAATGTAGCCCACAATCAAGTTATTCTACAATGGAATCAGCGGACAACGTGCGCTTGAAGTTGTCCACTCACCTTGAAACTATCCGATCAAAAATCGCCAGGGGAATGCTTGTGCTATTCGTTGGTGAACAAGCTTCAGCGTTAACTTCCCCTGACAATCCCTATCCTTCACTGGATGATTGGTGGCAGGTTATTAACCAATCAGAGGTAAGAGCTGTTTGAAACTCCGAAATACGGCCCGGGGGTGATCCCTATAATTGCCTATACCAAGAGAGAATGATCTAGATTATTCTCTCTTGCTTATACGTGGAGGCTCCACCCAAAATGGGTACCATTATCGGGCTTCAGATTTATGAAATGGTGAGGAAATCTGTTATTTCGCCCTGTAAAAAGACCTAAAAGAGCTAATAGGAGAATGAATTTATGAGTGTGAAAACGTTGAGACAATTTAATATTTTGTAGTTTGGTCATATTTAAAAAACAGTGCATTCACAGCAGTCTATAAAAGGGATGCAAAGTTCTAAACTAGATTTATGAAATCTGTTCTTTCTTTGAACTTTGCGTTTTCTTTGTACCTTAAAAAGGGGTAGCTCTTCTGTAAATAGGAAAGGGATTGAACATCGGGGCGAAGCCTCCCTGTATAAAGCGTTTGGGAGTACCCTCTGGGGTCCAAACCTAACACTGAATCACAAAAACCAATTCGATCGAAGGCACGAGCCTCGTCTTCTTCACCACCGATCGAAAGATTAAGGGTGACTTGCCCAGAGTTTGAGCAATTCAAAGTGTATACTGAGATAGTTCCACCTTTTTAAAGCATGTTTGTCGATTCATGATGACTTTCATCCAACCCTAACCCTCTTAGTGCAATCCGATTTAATAACGTTACATTTTGTTGGTTTTATTTACCTGTCGCCCTATTATGTCTATTAGTTTTTTTGTTTCTTAAGTTTCACTGGCGGATTTCACTGTTCATCTTTCCTTAACAGAAAGGCGTCGACTCTCTATTTGATCTTGAGGACAAATTCCTGGCAAACATACAGCAAGCGCCTTCACGTGTTCATGATGCGCTGCGGAATGTTGGGAAGTTTCCTGTTATCATAACCACGAACATGGATGACCTGCTAGAGCGCTTCCTTTGGAAGGCTGGGAATGTTGGAGACAAAGTTCGACTTGATCAGGCAAGTGGAAAACAGTTCACTCTTTCATTGCTGACAATCGCTTGATAACTCAACGAAACGTGAATTTTACATGACGCTACCGAAATCACCGCGATGTGTTTGTTATGTTTAAGCTTGTTTTTTCGTAGATTTTTCTCAAGAACTGGTCTCGATAATATTTCGATACAATTTTTGACCCACGACTTCATGATTTAGAGTGTTCTATCCCTTTACAGGTGATCAAAATAGAACTTGTTTAATGAAAACCGCCACGGAGGCTTTTAAAATCAACACACTTCTTCAGCGCGCTCTCTCATTTTTATTGAAACTTAACAAGTCCCGGATGCAAGTCCCGCATGCGAGTCACGATAAACCGCTGTACACTACATCGCCCAGATTATAAGCGCTAATCGAAGATTAAAATTTTGTACTGCGTTTTTGTGTTTTACCTTCCTACGCGTTGCTTAGGGTAACATTTTGAGTCATCAGTACTGTACTTCCTAGTAAAAGCTCAATAGTAACTTCGAGTTGCATGTTCTTAGACGAGAAATCCCTGCTTGAAATTTGGCTTAATCCTGGGGAGTTAGACTTATCCTTCTTTTAAGGAACCGGGCCCTGGACTATACTCATCGCGCGGATTTCAAACCAATTTACTGTCGATTGCGAAATACTGGGTCCCACTTAACATTCATCAAACACTTTGGTATTTAATCCATATCTTACCTTTTTGAGTATTCCAGAGTCCTGAGTATTCAAAATGAAAATGTCCCTTTTCAGATTTCATGTGTAGCTCCTTCCTGGCCTAACCTGCGCAGAGATCTGATTATCAAATGTCTTGGAGATAGTAGTTTTAATGTCCGGACACAGGTAAGTCTGCACAAACTTTAAATCATGGGTGACAGATCTGGTACGAAATTCCAGCATAGGCTTCTTCAGCTTATATGTTTTGTTTCCCTGCGAAGGTCCCAGAGCAATTCGACTCACCGCCTTGTCTTTTCAAGAATTATGCCTGATTATGCGTACATATGCAAGCCACTAAGAAAAAACATGAAAGAAACAGAGATCTCTATAGTATTATCACGTGACTTCCATTAGGAGAACAAAACATGCAAGCTAAAGGGGTCTTTTTCACATGTCAAAGTTACAAAATTGCTATGGCAACGTTCCAAACCAAGATGGCGTCCAGGTTAAGAAAATGTTACGAATAAAGATATCAGGACAAAAAGGCAGGGTAGGAAACCTAAAGACAGGAAAAAAGCATAATATCTAACAGCAAAATGGATTCTAAGGGGTTATTTTTAAAACGATTCAGAGAATTAAAGACTTCAACTAAACTTTTCATTAGGTGGAACTGCAAACGGTACAAAGCGTAGTTTTTCACCCATGATATCAATAGGTAAATAAAGGCTATAGTCGTGAAATGAGTAAATTATTTCTCATGCGGTTTGTCAGCATAAATTTGGCTTGTCTATGTACACTGACTGATCCCCTGAAAAAACAAAAACTGCCTCCGTTTTCAGTTTTTATAATGGAAATAGAATTATTATGCTAAACTTTTTTTCTTTTGAAGCCCAGCAGCAAGAACTACTTTGAGGACTTTTGCAGCACTCTTGAAAGTGCAGAAGTTGACTTTATGCATCGAATTTTCAACGAAAGATCTGTGCTTTTTCTTGGATGTGACCTTCATCGTCAAGAGTACAAAAGCTTTTTTCAGAAATTTGCCGTTAATGCTAAGGTATATACTACTGACTGAGGTGACAAGTGACAGTTTCGCTTCGTTTCTTCTTTTCCTTTCACCGCATGCCTGACATGCCGTCTTCTCCTTCTTTTTCTTTCTCTTCGTTGTCGTCTTATTATTATTATTGTTCTGCAGTTTTATGACTTGGATTTAAATTTCGGACGACATAACCACTACTGATAGAATCTGCACCAAATAGTGTTACTAGAACTCCAGAAACGTGACGAAATTAAATACTTCTTTGAAAACAAATTGGTTGACTATGGCTTTTGCGGTTCACCTGAAGGGAAAACATAAACACTGTGCGAAAACTTTCTTAAGTAACAACCCGTCGATCTTCACCCTGACCGACAACTGCGGTGAAGGGTACTATCTTCTTTTAACTACATTAGTATAGAGTGATAGTACAGAGTCTCAAATACTTTGGCTCTCTATTTTGGTTTTCTATCGATACTATGACGCACTTCTTATCTCGTGAAAATAATGATAAAATTATGATGGAACAAAGACTGTAAGTGTGTGACAATAAGAATAAAGATAGTATTTGGGGACAGAATGAGGAATTAGACTTGAAGGCTGAAGTAAAATCAATCTTCGAGGCTAATTTCGGGAAAGGTGCGCGAAAAACTGTCAGAAGTATAGGAAAACCATTTTTAGACAGTCAAGTCGATTTATTTGTCAGTGTTGTAAATTTCAGCAGCTGTCATGGCAATATGAGACAATGTATGCCTGTGGGAGATTAATTAAGTCAGTGGATCGGGATTTTTTTTACTGCTTTTTAGATGATCCATTACAACTTTGAGACTTCGGATAAGTCGGATTTGGAAGCAAACGGAAATCTTCTCACTCTGAAGGTGACCATAAAGCCCTGGGAATTCGTACAGTTATTGAGTACAGGAACTATTCAAGAGGACATTCAGCCAGGAGAGGTACTAACGTTTTGTATTAAAGTTATAGCTCAGTAGCTCAATGGTTAGAGCATCCGAACTAGAACTCGGAGGGTCGTGAGTTCGATTAGCCAAGCAACCGCACGACTAACTAAGAGACCATTGACTGGCACTGAATATCTTAGTTGGTGTCTCGTACCCAGATGTCTCTCCCTGGTCTCTCTATCCATAAAAATGTGTTCGCAAAGGAAAGTGGGAAGGAGAAAACGGGCAATTTCTCCTTCCCATGGTCCATTGCGCTTCTTCACCAGTCTCTCACGTGTCACTCGTGTTTCCTGCTGACCTCTGTGCGAAAAAGGAGGAGGCTGTCTTAACAACAATGGTTAGTTAACATAGTGATTTATGTGCGCTTCATGCATTCTTCTTCGAAGGTCTATTTGCGATCCTACCTAAGAATCCAACGGGACCAATACCTTCAGCAGCAACTTGCCCTGGAGCAGAAAGCATCCGAGATCATCCTTCACACCACGACTGTCACAAATGCTTTGTCCCCAGACGAATACTTTGAGCTGATCTCTCGTCATGCGATCGAAGATATGTTCATGAAAGATTCTTTTGGTAAATAAAACGTGTCACATTTTTTCAAATTTTTCCTACTTTGCACAATATTGAGCTGGTTAAAGGCAGACATTGAAAATTAAGAAATCTTAGTTAAGAAAATGTTTGCAATTTCTCGTGAAAGGAGAGTACGTCTTATTCTAACTGAACTAAATCATAGTTGTGTCTATTCTCCATATAATATGTGGATTAATAGAACGAGGACCAAAAAAGTGATAGGACTGTTTCAGGTGTTACCGAAAGGTCTCAGGGAAATTGAATTCTAGTATCATTCAAACGGCCAGCCACGCTAAAGGTAGCATGCACCGGCAGTGGAAGTGCACAAGAGCTAAAAAGCTCTAAAACGTTTTATCCCTCACAGCTGCTCATTTAACTTCAAATGAAAGAAGACCGGATAAGAAATCACTATAATTACTATTGCCAGGACATTTTAGCCATAACTACAATGATAAAGTTGAATAACCGGCTCTGTTCGAAAACTATAATTCAAGCTCTCCTGGTCCTCTTTTCCTTAAGTCTCAAACAAATTTTGTTTAAAATTTTTTAGGTGTTTATTCGCAGGAAAAAGTCCAGAGAACGGTAGATGCCATGAAACAAAGACGAGATAACCTGATTTGGGTAAATTGCCGTAAATTGCGGTTATAACTGTCACTATGATTAGGAATCAGTGGCTCTGATTTGACTCCAACTGTGACAATGCTCAGTTTAATTTCTGACGTGACTATGACCGTGTCTGTAAGAAAGAACTGTTTCAGTGATTACAGCAATGATAGTTACCTTAACAGTGACTACGCAAGTGGCCAAGACTGACTGACTGATTGTGTTAGTGACTACACACATAGCAATGACTATGACTGCTATGTATACAGTGATTGTGACGATGAAAGTGGTTTTGGCCGTTAATGTGACTGCAGCTGTGACTGTAGCCATGGCTGAGGCCAGGAGCCCATAAGTATTAAGTGATAACATTTACAAATTTGAGGGCTGTTTCCTGAGAGGTAAGGTAAGTTCAAACGGTTTTAAAGTTTTCAACGGTTGCGTAGTTTAATCTTAAATTTGATTGGTCCGTTTGCAAAAAAAATTGAGTATCTTTTGTTTTCAGAAAACGTTGTGAAAAACCTAATTTTCCACATGTAAAAACATACACTAGTCGTTATCTTTTATGTATTAACCTTTTAGCTTATAAAGAATCCTGAAGCGGAGACAAGGATCACATGCCTTTTCTTTTACCATGGAGTCAAGAGAGAAATACAGAAGTGGAAAGAAGTCGAAGAAACCCCTTCTTTGCCTGAGGATGAAAAACAGAACATTTTACTGAAATGCAAGATTTCAATTAGCAAATACGCAAAGGTTGCACTGCTGGCCAACTCATTTATGCAACGGAACAGCTCTATGGAAATTCGCATAGTTGACTCGGAGAAGTATGATGTGGAAAAACAGAGGGAGGTGGAAAGGGAAACGTTTGCCCTCATCCGTCTTAAAGGTAGGAATAGAAACCATGTATTTTTGTAGTTAAGCTACACGTATACGACAAACGGCAAACTTCAGATTCAAGTTGAAAATTTCCAAGACAGAAAATGAGCAGATAAAACAGCTCAAAACAATTCTTATGGATAAAAGAGTGCGTGAAACTACTAATTTATGCGTAGAAATAATGAACAGTAAGCGACTGGTAAAGGGGAAACGTGGTCACGTGATACAAATTCGCGTTTGCCGTTTGACATAAACGTGAAGCTTTAAAACCTCTCCATTAGCTGCTGTTGTTGCTTCCATTGAAATATAATCAGTGAAAAATCGTTCGATTTCCTAACTACTCTAACCTGCAATCAGGCGTTCTTAGTTTTCGGGGAAAGCTCGAAAATGAGCGGACGGTTTACACAATTACTGCCTTTTCTTATACCTTATTAAGAAGATTAAACGCGTCCGCGTTTATTAAATTTTTAGCGTTAACGATCTGATTCAGGAGCGATGTCTATTTTAGTGACATTTCTTTAATCACTGACAACAATTACGATTATCATAATCATTTATATTCTTTTGAGTTATGTAAAACAGAAGGATGTTTAAAGTTCAATGGTTTGTTTGTTTTTGTTTGCTGTGATTCGTGATTGCCTGGATGGGGTAGGTTACCAGGTTGTACCGAGTTTTTCCCTCTCCAAATATACGCTGCATTGTACTGAGAGGGTGCGCGTTTGGTAATGTTTTCTTCCATGACATGATGAGTATATGAATTTCATACCGTATATTGAGCTGCACGAGATGAAAAAATGCAGATAAGATTATCACAGTTAAATACTCAACTTATGCAGTTGTGAAAAGAAAGCCTGAAAAAGTTCCGACTTTGCCGGCATTCAAAGCTCCATTTGGCTTTTTAGCTCAGCTGATTAGAGCGCTTCACCAGTATCGCAGAGGTCAGGGTTCGAGTCCCGGCAAGGCTGAATTTTTTCCAGGCTTTCTTTTCGTAGTTGCACAGGTTGCGTATTTAATTGTGATGATCTCCTTGGTATTTTTCCTCCATCTGCAGCATTTAATCGAAAGCGGCGTTTAATCGTTAGACACGGTAATATTCCCTAGGCCAGTTTTTTTTTTCAGCATTGTTCGTACTTATAAGAATCAAGAAAGGTAGAACATCGAGGTAGAAATCTCTTCAAAACTGACACAAACAGTTGAATATTGATTCTGTTTCACCCTACGTTTATCGTCTATCTAAAAGGGATAACGTCTAGTTACTTTGGGAGGTTCTATGTCACACTCAAGCCCCTTCTCCTAAAACAGACACTGGCTGATGCTTGGTCAACTTTATTCCAAACTGTTCCTTGTATTTCCTATGAAATAATTGCCCTTCCAACAGTTTGATATCTGGTGACCAGAAACAGGCATTTTCGGCAAAACACTTCACCACTCTTATTTCGTTAATTTTTTCTGTGAAGGGACGGGTAATATAGAGGGATAGAGTTTCTGCACAGGATAATCAGCCTGTGTTCTGAGGCCTCCTTGAAAATAATGACCGAGCGCGTAGCGCGGGTTGACCTATTTTTGAAAAAGCAGAGGAGTAAGGGCATTATCCGATTAAATACACCCTTCCATTGTTTTAGAACGAGCAAGTCATTATTGTGGCCTCCGAAGTGGAACAGTAGGTTATTATTCGTAATAATAACCTCCTGTTCCACCCCAGTGGCTTGCTCCTCACATTTCGTGTAAATAATAACCTGTTCAACAGAATGAAAGGCGCATTAAAGCCATATCCTATATTTTACAGGTGGAACAGATGAAGCAATCTGCTACGCTGATCAAGCATCATCTCCAGATCAGAGAAATTTTGCTTCTCATCTCGTGAACATCAACGGGGAGGAGGTTGCGAACAAGCGAAAAGTCTACGAGAAAAGTCGATTGGTCGCCTGGAGTAACGAAGACTCTATCCTGAAACTTGCCACTACCATCATGAAAGAAAACTCTGAGATGAAGGACAGATTCGGCATTGACGCAATTGAAGTAAGCCTTTTTTTTTGGTCGTTCGTGTATCCCTGTTATCGCTAGCCCTTTTAAGCCGCTTTAAAATGCCTCGGCTATCTGCGTTTTTGAGCGGCTCTACAAATAGTTTTAGCATAGCCAGACTTAATCCACCAAACGTAGCATTTTCAAGCTGCGCGTATGTTCCTCTCACGCCACTAATTGCAGGGCTGGAAGTGCATACCCGGGATCCGGGATTCGACCAAAATACAGTGCGGGGTTCGGAAAAAGTTAACGGGATTACATACGGGAATTGACGGCTACCGGACATGCGGGATTCGGAAAAAGTTAACGGGATAACATACGGGAATTGACGGCTACCGGAGATGCGGGATTCGCCAAAATACAGTGTGGGATTCGGAAAACGTTAACGGGATACAGGAATTGAATGCTACTAGAGAAGAGGGATTTGACCAAAATACAGTGCGGGATTCGGAAAACGGTAATGGGATTACATACGGCAATTGACGGGTACCGGAGATGCGGGATTCACCAAAATACAGTGCGGGATTCGAAAAACGTTAACGGGATACGGGAATTGAATGCTACCGGGGAAGCAGGACTCACTAAAATTTAGGCACTGATGTGGGATGGGAAAGAAAATTATATTCGGGAGAGCGATGAGAGAAGTTCGGGATTCGGTATTTTCGTGATGCGTGTTCGGGATACGGTATTCTCGTGAAAAAGGAGCGGGAATACGTGATCAGGGCCTCCCAGTCCCTGTTATTGTCTGTAAGTAGCATCTTCTTTGCATGCTATCGTGATTGACGAAGATGGCTTAATACAAGGAAAAATATACATCACGGCTATTTATTTTGTAACCATTGTCACAAAACCCAATTAAAGTGTGCTCGAACGCATCAGTTTTCTTGTCCTCTTATTTACTAGACGGAAACGATGATTTACAATGAGAAGAAGGAAAAGGTAAACCGTTCGAGATAAAAATGACATTGAATGGAGAATTTACCAAAAAGTAAGAAAGGAAATTAAAGCGCAAGGCTTGTTAGTTTCTTGGTCGGTGCTATGTCAAGAAATGCTATCTATCTTCAATTTAAAAAAAATCTCTCAACAGAGCGAAGACTTGGCTGACCTGGAACAGCTGACTCGAATAAGCAACAAATTTAGAAGCGAGCTTGATGCAGGCTACTTTGATCGTATCGGCGAGGGAAACTTTGGTTACGTGTACAAAGCTCAAAAGGGCAAACGAGATGTTGCTGTGAAGATCTTAAAGAATAAAGAAGACAAGGATCTGATCAATAACTTCGAGAGAGAAGCTGATATGTTGCGGTAAGTTCAAGACTCTATTTAATAAAGAACGTTATTAAATAAAAGTGGCAACTGTTTCGTTAATGTAGCGATGTCACGACTATTTCCAGGGGAGAAAACAAGTAATAACTACTTTCCGTTTTGCTGATTAGTCGATTTAGCGCCGAACCTCGAATAAGCGCCCACCCTATTAGGTAGGAAAAGTTACCAGGTGCCCAGCCACGAATAAGCGCCCACTGCTCCCCGCCACCCACCAAGAAAAAAAATTGACCTTACTAACAATGAGATTGAAATTGACAAAGTAATATATAGCTAGAAACTTCCCACGAGACAATATTTTCTGGTACATCTTCACGTTTTGTAATTATTCATCGATTGATGTAAAATAAATTTACTACTTACTGAAAATGGTGAAAATTTAGCCTCTGGGTTAGTGCTGCAGTGCTCTACCAACTGAGCTGTGAAGAACCATACACAGAGAGCAGGCAAACTTGTTAATTTCATCTTAGCCCGCAAAAGAAATGAGACGCAGAGGTCCTGGGTTCAAATATCGTTGAGGCCCTTAAACGATTTCCCGGGCTTAATTTGTAACCACATTGCAATTACAACTTCGATGATCATGTCTTCATTTAATTCTGTATTCCTGGAGTTCACATAATCTTCATTCTGTAATTCTGATCACTCTTAATTCAAAGCTCATTGTTTTCTATTGGCATCTGTTCCATACGGCCTTAGAGGCAGGCCGCTGATCAAAGTATATATTATTTTTGTTCTCTGACCAGAAAAGCGAATCACCCAAATATTGTACAGGTCATCTCTATACACATCTCCAAGAAAAGTGAGTTGTCCATCGTGATGGAGTTTATGGCTGGAGGAAATCTCAAAGACTTGTTGAGAGAAAACAAGCAAGGAATGGGAAAAGACTTCACAGTTACATTCATTGAAGATATCGGCTCAGCTATCGAGCATCTTCACTCGCTTGGTGTTATGCACAGGGACGTTAAACCGGAAAACATCTTTGTGAGTACTAGTTTCAATTTTGGTGCAGTCATTTTGTCTTTACTACTAACGTTTACTGGTGTGAGTTCCTACAGTAAACCAGAAATTTCTGTTTAGCCTACTTTGGGCTGTGTGTTGAAGTGTGCTCTGTGTGCATAGCACCCCCCAAAACGCGACAATTGGAGTCTTGCTCTCCTGGAGACACGTGATATAGCGTGATCCGGTGGGTGTTGGAGTTCTTCATTGTTGAGGCTTAAAACGGAGTGAGCGGGTATTGTCTCAGCAGAGCTTCTCTGTTTGTTAAGCTGCCCTGACTAGCCACAATTATGGAGAAACAGCTGGCTACAACCCCGTTCTGTTTTGGGTTACAATGGTGTCCTGCTGATGTCTTGCAAAGTTACTTTTCATACAGTAGTACGATCAGCTTTGCAGAATTCAATGTGTGTAGTTTGGTATATTTTGCTGGTCAGGTCTTCTTTAGACCCTACGCTCTGGGGCAAATTCGTTTGCGGTCCTTTGCAGTTAATAGTGGGCTTACGCAATAGGACGGGAGAGGAAAGAAGACAGCAAACCTTGAGTGACAAGCGTGACAATAATTTTGTTTGAAATAATTTTTCGTCAAACTTCATTTTCAAACTTTTTAAACAGATCTTTTTGTAAAAGACCAGAAAACATTGATGTTAGTTAAGTTCACAAGAAAACACACAAGTAATTGCCTTTCACGTTCGTCACGCACAAGGGATTTGCCGCCCTCTTCTTCCTGCCGGCCTGTTGCGTAAACTCACTAATGTCCAAAACTGTGGCCTGTGGTTGCTGTTGCTGCTCGTTTCTGTTGCGTTTTTCTGTGAGTAGGTGGAATATGATTGTCCAGGTGAGATAGTTCCGGGTGAGCCCAGTCCTAGTCAGTGAGGTAGGAAGAGTCCACAGAAATCATCTTTAACGAAAACTTGAAGAAAGGGCGAAAACATTTAAACATATCATTGTGTTTAATTTCCTCCAAAATTTCTCACCAGTTGTCGAAAGATCATAAAGTCCTAAAGCTTGGGGACTTTGGCCTAGCCCGTGCTACCATAGGGTCAAAAAGCAGAAAAACTGAAACTGGATCGTACCGCTACATGGCTCCGGAGGTAATGATTTCTGAGGGCAAGTATTCCGAAAAATCTGATGTTTACAGCTTTGGTAAGTATGGGTAACTTTGGTAACAATGCAAGGTCTTATTTCGTTCCCTCCGAGGTTTTTTTGATTGGCATTTTCAAGGCCCTTGGAATGGGTCAGCGCCAACCTGCATGCAGGGAAAAAATGGAGCGTAACTGTTGGATTCCCTCTTCTCTCGCCCTAATTTGTTTTGCAAACTTTGAAGGTCTGAAATTTATATTTGAGGTGCAGTGGGATCTTTGCATATTAAACAGTCACGTGGGACAAAACCACCTTGCTGGCGAGCATGAGACACAGACACACAGTGGACAAAGACAAGCAAACGCAACAACAATTCGATGACATCTTATAACAAGCTAATCTTCCTTCTTGCAAGATCCCACTGCATCTTTTGCTCTCGATAGAAATTTTTTTTGTCACCTCGGGGCTGTTTTGCTGCAAAGAGCCCATTCTAGCGTTTTAAATGTCTCTTGTGTTACGACAATTTTTCCTGCTCGACTTTCTTAACGTTGCATGACTTTTTCCTTAAGTGTAAGGTTGCCAGGTGGTTTTTGCGTTACGTTTCCTCTTTGAAAACGCTGATCCCATGTTGAGCCAATAATTCTGTGGTCATCAAGAAAGAGAGAATCATGCCAACAGGTTTACTTGAAATTCATATGGCAAAAGCTTTGCAATTGCCAGCTAGGCCACTTCCACTCTTTAAAGAAATGTCACGTCCTTACGTAACCAAAGCAGTCATTCCTGAGTAGTATAGTAGGGATAAAATTAATCTTCTTTAATATCCTGCTTCGAAAGATGCACGTTTTGGTTTTAGGTTGTACTTGGTTTAACCGGACTGATAGTTTTGAGCTATTTCAGGATTTTTAATGCCTGCCTAAAACTAGAGAGCCGTTTATTGGTTGATTGATTCGAGAAGGAATAAGCGCCAACTCGCATGCCAGTTTCACACACTGTATGCAAGTTTATACGGGACACCATGTGTATGAAACGTTGGTAACTATCAACGCGAGAAATTCTCGCCCGGACGAAACATAGAATGAAGATAACAAGATAATTTATTCTATGTTTCATTCCTTTCACAGCTTAAGATGAACTCAACAAATTGGCCTGATCCCATGTATAGGACTTCATAGCTCAGTTGGTAGAGCACTGCAGCGCTAACGCAGAGGTCATGGGATCGAATCCCATTCAATGCCCGAAAATGTTTTTCGGGTTAATTTGCAATTGCTAAAATTGCAATTACCACTGCGACGATCATATCTTCATTTAAGTTTGTATTTCCGCAGTTTACATTATCTTCACTCTACATACGTTATGAAACAAAATGATCAACAAAACAACAACAAAATGATCAAATCTACAAAAAGGTTAACGTCATACCTACTAGACTACTTTGCGAGCAACATTTACACTCGCAATTATGCTGACTTTTCACAGGCCCTTTTTTAATTCTCCATCGATTCTGTTTCTTTCGCAGAGACTAAATAGTGAGGTTCTCTTTTCGTTTTAGGGTTATGTCTGGTCGAGGTTGTGAGTGGCAAAACTGTCTTTGATGACATCGAGAATGACTTTAGGGTACTCCGTACAAAAGTCTCCGGCGGGAAACCTAATATTCCGGTAAGGTTGACTATATTTGAGCCCTGATCCTTGCAGGTTAATCCTATAATTTTTCATCACAAAATCGATACTCCTCGTGATCTTATACGGAGTTTATTTTAGGAAATTTCCGAGACACAATTTGGAGAGGAGGCAGCGAAGATAAGGAAAATAATAGATGAGTGTCTGAAGACTGAAGCCTTCCGTCCGGACATGCACATTGTGCTGACAATTCTTAAGAAGCCGTTAAACGAGATGGATGTAAGCGGTCAAAAAGGTAGGTACGTCGCGAGTGGGACCAGCCAGAGGTTTCTTTAAACCTGTTGGAACACTCCTACGTAGTGATGCATAGCAACAGACGTTGTAATGGGTTACTGGTCCGATACAATCTTGTGATAAGGTAGAGAGTACATTAGACCATGGCAATAAAGGGGAACAGTACTTCATTTCGCTGGCAGAGCTTACGATGTAACCGGCTTAATGGCTTCCCGCAAAACGGCAAATGGTAAATAGTAAGCAGTGACTAGACTTGAACCCGGTTGTTCAAACATTGGACACAGCTATCCACGGAATAAATCGCTATGCAGCGGATACGTATTAGCGGGCAACCAATTGCGTTCTTATCAACTGGATAAAGATTTATCTAGTGAATGGCGTTACTGATCTACCTTTCGAACAACTGGACCCTGTTAGCTCCCAGTGTACTTTATTGGTCGTCCTGGGGTACATTTTGAACCCTGCATGGGGATCTTGTAGCAAAGTTAGATTCGTTGATTTCGTTCTCGTAGAGACACTTTAAAGAATGTGTCAGATTTAATTTCTTTGAATTAGGCTATCGGTAGGAGTTGCTTCTGGGCTAGTAACCTTGACGATGCCTTCCTTCAACAACAGAAACAAAATCTGCTTTCCACCAAAACCTATTTAAAATTTCTTTTAAATACGTAGAAAAAGTGAAACCTGAACGTTGCTTGGGAAAATATTTTACATTTTCAGGACGGACACGCAAGCAAACACACACATACCCGTACTAATAGGAATAAAAGGAAATAGCTAAAAGCCAGGTAGCAAATAATTGTTATATCGCAAAAGGGCATTATGACCGAAATGGAGCGATCTGCGGAAAACTAACAGTCCTTAATTATAATGTAAAGGTGTTTCGCTTTCTTTACACAAGACGATTTAGTGAATTCGTCATTGGAATTCTATGTCTTGTATGAGTTTTATGGGCCTTGAAATCTAATATGGAATATTCCACAATCTGAGACATTAACGACTGAGCATGTTTCACCGCAAGCTTTGTGTAACAATTGTGGATCCGTTTTATTTTCGGTAAGAAGGAAGTAAATAAAGATAACGCTGATATTCATAAAAGACATCAAAAACGCCCCGTCTTTTAGTATATTCAAGCGTGTGATCAAACCATTTTTAAGGGTCAGACAGAATGCAACCTAAATACCTTAACACCTTATATCTATATTTTCCTCTAAACACACTTATATACTTAAATAAACTACTTTTTTCTTTATTTCTTAAAATGCCGCCCAGTAGCCTGTTCCAAGCGTTCAGATAGTGGAGAGCGGTGCGAAGTAAAGATAGCGATGAAAAGTAGAGGGGGACTGGGGAGAGAGGTGACCTCTGACCTCCCCCCCTCCCTCGCTTTTATTTTTTCGCGCTTCTTTTTTCTTCGCACCGCTCCCCACTATCTGAACGCCTGGAACAGGCTAGCCGCCTAGTATTTAAATTGCCCGTGGGGGAAAATCTCTATTCCTCAAAAGCTCGGCTTCTCGGAGATTTCCCCGCCACAGTCACTCCTCCCAAGTAATGTACAAATTTTAAATTTAATGTTAATTAACCTATTTATTATCGTTTTTATTCTGCTTGTAATTCATTGTGTGTGGCAAAATAATAAAATAAAATAAAATAAAATAAAAAGAATTTTGCTATATGTAAAGTGACAAGAAGAAAAAAAACATAGTTTGAGAGATTTCAACAAGGCATAGAAGTGCTCATGGGATCTACAGAAGTAACTACTCGCATTCAAATGTCACACCCCTATGTATTTCATGTCATTAGATGCCAAGTCTTCCCTATCTCCCGAAGGCCAATAATAATAATCAAGCATCTTAATTTTTTGTCATGAAGATGAGAGATGATTCAGTTTTGCCGTTAAAGTCTTTTCCTTATTCGTTCATTACAGAGCCTCAACAAGTTGATCCAGGGTCTTGGCGCACGGTTGATGACGACCGAGTGGAGCTGCGCGCTTCAGAAGCGGTTGATTCACCTTACCCAGTTCTAGTGCAAGCCTTTAAAGATGAACCAGACCAGCCAACCACGGATGACACACAAACTGAAGAGCAACCTTCTGGTCTTAGTAGCTCAACTTATCCTCGTCTTGACCAAGTTTTTAAAGACGATATTGGGAATGTCAGTGCTTCCAAATCTACAGAAAAACTTACAAAAAGCAGCAATCCGCCTTACCCTACAGTTGTACAGTCTTTCGGAGATGGACAGAACTCTCCATCTAAGGACGACAGGCGATCTGACGAAAAACCCAGCAATGATCCTTATCCTCCTGTTTCACAATCATTTCAATAAGACTGTGATGCTCTGGACTCATTCATAATGAAAGTGGCCGCTTAGTTTATATGATGACCTCTTTTGGTTTTCACACCACAGCAGCTCACTTACTCAGGTTAACAGATTTAGTTTAGAAACTGCTATCAACGAAAGTCTTATGACTAGGAGTTTTAATTTAAACGTAAGTGCTTCCCGTCAGAGCCGGAAGACAATACGGAGATTACAGCCGGTTTGAAAGTAAATTAAGTAAAGAAAATGTAAATGACCCCCAGGAAATTAGGGTGGGTAATGTCCTTTTTTAAAGAAAAATATGTTAGTTCCTTGCATTTGTGATGTATAAAAGGGGGAAAGCCGTTCGAATAAATTTCCAGAGTGAAAGCAGATGATAAACGAGGCCTGATTTTTTAGTAAATGCTTCAGCTTATGTTCTTTAGATTTCCTTCTTTTACTGTCTGGAAATAATTTGATCTAGGTCATGAACGGTTAAGGGATGAATCTGGATGAAAACAAGATATTTTTTTATGAGTTTGACTGCTCCTCTATGTCAAACATTTTTTCCGATTCGCGAATGGAGGTGCGAAGATATCGACCGGCATGGATATTAACGGGCTTAACGTGGTGCTCGAGAAGTTTTCCTTTGACTTAAAGGTTTTAAACAAACAATTGAACCCGAGGGTAGCCTGCGTAGCAGGCGCTTGCCCCGGGCGGGTACTCCTGGAAATTCTTGGTGAGGTTGTGCCGCCCGGTTCTCCAAATCCTGACCCTGTTTCAGACCAAAAAATATCATTTTCCACACCCGAATTCAGACCAGACCTCTAAAATCCATACCCGTTTTCAGAGCTGGCCTTTAGGTAGAAATTATGTTATCATTAATTAGATTAGAGCGCGAACAAATGAATTCTTCAAATCCATTGCGAATTCGCATATTTCTCTTTCTTTCTTACTCATTCGGAATTGAAACGATTAATACGTTCACACACTCCGTAGTTCCCTCGAAACCATACCCGATTCCCCGCGATTCCAGACTAAAATGGGCAAAGTGTACACCCGTTTTCAGACCAAAACGGCGCAAAATCCCTACCCGATGGGGCGGCATATACCTATATAGCTTATATAAGGGAGTAACCCCCCCTCCCCCCGGGGCCATTACCAACGCGACAGTCAAATAATTGTACAGTTGAATAGTTAACTAGGGGTAAGCAGGGGTTACCCTGCGTAGCAGGCTTCGTAAGGGTAGGGGATTGGGTGGAAGGGAAAAAGAGAGGGGGATTTTTTTTCCTGCGCTTTTCTCTCCCCTCCCCTTTTCTCGCCTGCCACGCAGGCTAAGTAGTGGTAAGCTTCAAAGAGCATATGGTTCCAAGCTTTCCTTTCGCCTCAACGGACAAATGTAACTCATAAATTATCAGCTGAATTACACAGTACTTCAACGGACAGAGATTTAGACACAACGATCAAATTTAACGCCTCAGAGGGCGAATAATACTTTGATTAATTGCATGTGGTAACGGAGTCGCTGGTTTGCTTAGCACCTTTCCCCTCTTTTCTTCCGCGACCAGCAAGCTAGAGTCTGCAGTTTACGCCGAATAGAAGAATCTTTACCTGGTACATCACCTCTGCTGAATGCAAAGAGAAAAATCTATCCCCATGTAGGTGGATTTGATCGATATCTCCTCACCTCCATTTCAGTATTTGCGAATCGTCAAATACAGTAGCCAAACACGCATAAATCTCTCGTCTTCCCAACACTGAAATGCTCTAGATAGAATATACCACAAACAATATAGACACCTAGAAAGTAAAAAAGGAAATAACTAAACGCTCACCTCGTTGATAATCTGCTTGCTCTCTTGGAATTTACTTGAAATCTTTCGATCTCTTCCACGTGCGTTTTACGTAATGTCATCGCACAGGAGTGAATACGCCGGATAATAAGAAAACCAATGGACTGCGCGTGCTTCTGATCTTATACCCGACAAACTTTGGCTTTTTCCCGCTATTGGAGAATAGTGTGCTGGCTCGTGTAAGGCTCGCCAGCAAAAAGATGCCAGTTGTAATCTACTTAGAGAGCCGTGATCCTAAAGTTTCTTGTTCACTATAGTGTCAAGAAAAGTTAACTTCATTTTAGTGTCTATGCTTTGCTTCAAAAGACAAAAGAGAACGTTTAGAAAGACGCCGAAATTATTATCTTATTATTATTAGTATTAGTATCTGTGTGCAATGAATAAGGATCTATAACCGACACACGTATAGCAAGAAATTTAGGGATATTAATGGTCACCGCATGTTTTTTAGGCGTAAGCATTATAGTCTGTAATTGTGTGAACTTGTAAATTTTTAGCTAGTCAATAGTAGAACTGACTGTGTAGCATTGACCTAGAGTGGAAACAAAGACGTAAGAAAGGAACGTAATACAGTCCAAGTTGATCGAACTAGTGATTAGTCACTTTTGAAATGAACATTCCATATTTCAGCAACGCAGTGTGGCCTTTTAAAAGCTTCGTTAAAACGGGCAACAAAAACGTGCAACTTGCGATGTTGCGCGTTTTACCACTCACGTTCAAACCCGTTAACAACCTGATTTGTTGCAAGACAGGTTTGATGTGGGTGATATAACGAGCAACATCGCTATTCAGCTCGTTTTGCAGAAGTGTTGTAAGACAAGTTGCATGTTTTTTTGTTGCCCGTTTTTCCGTACCTTTTAGTATAAGCCTGAGGAAGATCGCCCAGTTGTATCAGCGGGAAAAGTAACGTCAGTAAATTCATAGAATGGAAGCGGTCAGTTTTGCATTAAAAAAGACTAAATCTTGGTATTCCAGCTGCGCTATAGTCTAGAGGTAAGAGGCTCAGCACTTGAAAGAGAAGGGAGGAAACGGAGAGAGAGAGCCCGGGAACGAGGTTGTATCACAGTCAGCATGTCGTTGACGTAAATAAAACCAGTACTGGCCCTAAAATGGATCCCTGGGGGACCCATTCCTGTACTTCAGCCTCCTCTCCCCCAGAAAAGCCTGGTACTCAGGCTATTAGACTAAAATAGCGATCTTAAGTTTGTTATTACAGGACACACTTCGCAAAACTGGATTTCCTTGACAAATAATGTATTGAATCTGCAAATTACAAAATGTACAAAACCTGGGCGTGCCAAAGGGCTCATCCATAACAAACTTTACTTTACACGTTTGGCTATTCAATTACTAGTAATCCTTTTTTTCTCTCTTTTGATGTTATGTTAAAATCCTTTCGACCTACATTTTTTTTATTGCAAAAATTTTACACCAAACTCATTTATTTTCCAAATATAGCAAATTTTTCCCAAAACATGTTTTGCTTTTTCAAGACTCATCCTGTGGCAATGTTTACAAAATTCTCATTCTACAAGTTTCTAAAAGGCCGCTCCAACTGTTATGTCTGCCATGTAAAAGCTACTACAGCAAAGACCCACGAGTAAGAACCTGCATTTTCCCAAGTTAGCCAAGACGGGTTCTTTCTTAAATGTTAATAATTAGCACAAATTTAGGCTACTTAGGTTCTTATTTTCTGAAGGAATAATACGTTGTAGCTATTCTGGTTTAAGTGGTATTCAGTGTATTCCTTATATAAATTCTGCATACCATTTCATTTCAGTTGGAGTGAAAAACTCCTGAAAAGTCTACAGAATTTTTTTACAGAGCTTAGAAAATAAGAACCTGTTTCAAATTTTATGCTGAAAAGGTTTTGTTATAGAGTGAGCCTAATTGGCAAGTTTTAGCCTAACAGGCTCTTAAAAACCAGGTTCTTACTCATTGGTTTACTGTATACCTTTGGAATGTGTGGTTAAAATCCTAAGACGCCATTTGCACGATGGCATCATTTACTACTACGACCAGAATCCTTCGAGTTTTCCTTTCTTGTGCAAATTACGGCTTTTGTCATATAAATCTCGCTGGGATTACCAAATTTAAATATGAAAAGAAAAACGAAAATGATTCTGGTCGTAGTTCATAGTAGTAAAATGATATCATCATGCAAATGGCCTATTAAAGTGTGACAGGGCTTGAAAAAAAATAACATCCCGACTAGTCAAACTGATTTGAGAACAGCTTGGCCAAAAAGTTTTTCAAGCCCTGGTGTGATTATTCAAGCGAAAACCAATGAGTGCTCTTTGTGTGACACTGTTCAGTACTCTGAATAATGAAGTTCTAAACCTTTTTGCATGTGAATGAAATCCTACATACACGGCTTATCTTGACTATTAACTGGGGTACTATCAGGAATGAAAAAATGCAACTATCAACAACAAAAAGATATTTTCAGAAATACCAAAAAATGAGGTGGTACACGCTAAGCGTAGCTACAGCTTGCCCGAAGAAAAAGCTGTAAAACAGAATTTCTTTGCACTGTGTAATGGCAGATCTAGTGGGAGCTGTATAAAAAGACCCAGACCTCTAACTCTAGTTATTTAATACACAGGACCTAGCACAATTTATTATTTTACATTTAAAATCCTAGCTGAACATTGTTTTAATTTCTTTATGTCCAGTGTTCTCCATCCTTCACAATAGGCAGGTTTAGCAAAGACTGCAAGAACAAAGACAATCTCCTGAGCAGATCTTGAAACCAACTTGAACAATAGAATAACAGCAAATTGGGTGCTACCCGAAGTTGGATTCAGTCCTTTCAACATACTGTTGCTTTCTTGTTTAACCTTAAAGTTGTCTTTGCTAAATCTGCCTTGTGTCCTTGAGCCACCTCTTACGGGTATACCCATTACTAGCTATGGAAGTGTGGTGTTTTTATTCATATAAAATTAGACTTGATTTTGTTTGGTATCATCCTCCACGGCCAAGTTATCAAGGCTGCGTGATCGTGGCCCTCTAGGCGGTGGTTGAGGTGGAGGTTCACTTTGCTTCTTAGTGTTATCGGCTTTCTTTTCAGGTAAACATGGTTTCCATGTCTCCCCTGCTATTGCTGCTCGCAAATATATTAGACTTGTAAACACCAGACTTGCACCTCCAAGGATTGTTGATAAAAAGAAGCATGAAGGTACAGAGGCACTAAAACAGAAAACAGTATAATGTGAACTTACTATTCTTGGTTTTCACATGGCATCACCAAAATTCAAACTAAGAAACTATCAATTGCTTCTTCTGAGTTTCTACTTTCATGTGATATTAGAGCACCTTAAAACCTTTATACAAATAAATTTTCGGTTCAAAAGGGTTCTTTGTTTTGCGATACAGGACGCTTGAATTTCCAGGCTTTTGCGTGATGCGACATTTAGCTGGTGGCCGGAAAAGCTCTTATGTGGGTTCGAAACATTACGGATTAATCTTTATGAGTTCCTCAAGCGAAGAATTCACACATAAGTAGGAAAATCAAAAACAGATGTTTCTGTTGGTTTCTGGTGGCCATATTTGTGCCCCTGAAAGGGACACAAACATGGCGTCTCCATACAAAGCTTCATAAATTTGGGTAAAACGTTTTTCTGAATATCTCGCATATGAACTATTGACCCGATTCTTGGCAGGGCTTTTTGTATATTTATCTTCTTTCATGTCCCAGATTCTAGACTTTCTGTATTAAAAAGTTTCCATTTTTATTTCTGCTTTCCCACATGAGTGAAAACCGAGAATTACAGAGCTATCACTTTGAAAAATGTATTAAGAGTGACAAATATAATACTATTGATAAAAACAAGAGCATATATCTAGTTAGATAGTTAAATGATTGTCCCATGATACTTACAGCAAGCAATGGACTTCATAAAACAGGTATTTTAACATTTTGATGATCCCTCTTTTCTCTTATAATTAGGTTTCACAAGTGCTTTTGATAAATTATTTTACACTAAATGCCTCTCAAACAAGAGAGAATCAATACATGAGGCTAACCCTGCCAAAACTTTGAATATTAACAGAAAAATTATGGTAATTGTGGCAAGGACCAGGCAATCATCTTTTAACTAAATCATAAATGAAGACACACATTCAATGACCTCAAAAAGCAAAATTATATGAGAAAAGCTTTTCAGGCACTTGTGTGATCGTTCAAGTAAAAACTAACGAGTACTCTTTTCTGAGATACTGTTTAGTACAATTCTGAATAATGGGGTTCCCAAATTTAAACCTTTTTGTATAATATTTATATGGATATGAAATCCTACAAATGTGAATTTCATGACTACATCTACATCTACATAATTAGTAGGAAGAAACTATGTACAGTTATCGCACTAATATTAAATTTAAAAAAAAAAGATTTAAAATTTAGTAAAAAATAATAATAATAATAATAATAATAATAATAATAATAATAAAAATAAATACTGGAAGAGGGTCACCTCATACTAATCTCCTCATAAGTATTCAATTAACATGCTCTTAAAAGTATCTAAAAGATTAGCAGATACAATGTCAGAAGGGAGGTAGTAACTAGTAACTGGTAACTATCAGGAATGCCAAAATATCAGGAATATCAGGAATGCCAAAATAAAAAATCACAAAAAATTATATATATTTTTGAAAAATACTTAAAAATAAACACAATAAAAAGATTACCAGAGTCAACATGAGTCAGAAGTCTCTACATTTGAGTGGCTGTTAGACTTAAGACATATTGAGTCACATTAATATCCAAAACTTTCGATATTAATGGCAGGATTGCCGTAATTAAGCTGTCTGAGTAAATAAACGTGATCAGAAAAACTGATAAAAATGTCAGGTGGTGGCCAATTAAAGGGCTAATAGCATATTGAGTATTAAAATATTGATAATTGCTACTTACAGAATGTAAAACACAAATCGAACCCAGTAATTTCTTCCAAGGACTCCAAAGAACTGGACAAACCTTGTAAAAGGTTTCTGGTTCCTGAAATAGCATTAAAAATAATTTTTATTAATAGTACCATCAAGCTTGCATTATTTGTGTAAGTAGCCAAGGCTTTCTTAATAATTTGTAAAAAGATAAAAATAAAAATTTATTGCCACCTCACTTTTATAAATATTGTTTCTCAAACTTGATGGGACATGATAACAAGCATGCACAACATATAAATTGCTGAATCACAAGATAATTAAACAAAATCACTTCACACATCTTACCATCTTTCAACGGTCTTTTTCCCTTTCTCTCTTTTTCCTCTCGGATACTCAATCACCAAAACAAGAATTCCTAAACCTCTGATCAAACTAGTTAAAGAAGTTTCACATCTCCTGGAATAACTTAACAGAAACTTGTATATTTATCTGTTAGGCTAATACCACAAACACAAACAATGGTTATGTTTGATGATCAATATTATGAAATGGTAATAAACCCAGCAGTGGGCATAATATCTATAAATTAGTGGTGTTCCTATACAAGTTATTCACAGTTTTAACTCAGGAAATATTGGACTTGCATTTAGTACTCAATAATACAAGAACATTGACTATTAAATTATTCTTGTGATAATACACTGTGAGGTGCAAAAAAGACCCTGGTTCCAACTCACTTGTAGAACCTCTTTACTACAGTGTAACTGATATAGCAGGACAGATTAATCAAAAAACCAGAGCGGATTTGTGCCTGCTTATCATTCAGCTTTTGAGGGTGTTTTAGCGACCACTTCTTTAATGAAATTAAAGGATCTGTGTCACCACATGTATCATAATAAAATTTATATGATGGGAACCGGCACCAAGAAGGTATATTAACACAACAAACACAAAAAGAGGCTCGGATGGACAAACTTGACACAAAGCTGTGATTTTGTCATTCACAAGTTATTCTTTAAGTTCCATAGTGACAAGGATGTGTAATTGGCATTATAATATTAGCAGAGTGAATTAGACAGCACGTGACATGTTATGACGAAAATTAAAAGTAACTCCAAACCAGCTTGACAGAAGTTTTTTAAACTTTGTGAAAAGTTGATAATTGAAATTCAGTAACAACAAAGGAAGTTTAATACCAAAATAGCTGAGTTTACAACAAGGGTGTTTTTGATGGGCATCATTGTTACGTTATAAATACAGACGTCAAGTAAAAGATGACCATAACTTCTTTACAGTCACTGACCCTTTCTAAAATCATAGGATCAACTAAAAAACTTCATAGAACTCATCTACACAGTGTTGAAAAATTGTTCATGTCAATGCTAAATGAAAATAATAAATGCTAAATTCATTGATAAAAATGATAATTGAATTTGCACATTATTACCAATATTCATCATCCTTGGGCAAAATATTATTCCCACTTGAGTCATAATGACGCATACTGATATTGTCTACGTATTCCGTTTAGGATCACGACTTGCGTCAAAACAGGTATTAGCATAAACACAATCTAACTCCCATGCCTACACATACTTCAATGGAAGAAAAAAAAGATACAGAGAGTAGGCTGCAAAATACCATTTGTTAAACTGTGCGGCTGTTCCAAGTATTCCTCCCATAAGTAAGACTGAAATGGGAATAAAAATAGGTGAATATAAGCTTTACTTTAATAGGGAAGTGCTTGAGCTTATATTGAACTGTCAAGTAGAAAAACGTGATTGTGAAAGGTCACTGATGCGTTACATCAACACGACAAAAATTTGAAAGCACGAAATTTTAGAGGCGATGAGAGGATTCAACGTTTACAAAGACTAAACACACAAACACACACACATAACTATCCTAGGGTATCATTGGAGTTCAAAGAACAACAACTGCGGCAGAAAATGACCACAAATGAAAAATGCTTAAGTTACGCTAACTCGACTTTGCAGGCTTTTGGATCATCCAGCACCGTTGGTCACCGTTAATAAAAGCGTCTCAGATCTTTCGTAAAATACTATACATGAAAATATACCAGCTTGGCTTTGCTATTTAAGTTTAGGTAGTAACCAGTTTTCTAACACTCATACTTACCAACACTGGCGATAACACCTTGTTCATTAGCCCACATCGCCCATTCTGTACCCATTTTCAAGACTTCAGGAAATTGAAACCTGTTGCCGTGAGCTTGGAAATTCTTTAGCTTTGTACACAGTAGAGTTTGTATGAGATGATTTAGAGCCCTAAAAGCCTCAACGACGGCCTGACGTCAAGACTACACACAAGAGACGAACACTCGCTGTCAAGGACTACTGCTAACTGCTTTGCTGTTTATAGGAACTCGCGAGGAACTCGCTAGGAACAACCGTGTGACGTGAGCTGAACTATTACATAAACTTTCCAAATTAGGTCATGGTTTTTTGCGTGACAGGAAGCTGTGAAGGAAGAGACTGTCAGCTAGGGATTCATTTTAGAAGAAAACTATAGCAAAATGTAAAACTACCTGGCTTCTTTTGAAGTTTCAAAAAAAATCTTTTCACGTTTCTATACGAAATGAAACAGTGTAGTGGAGGTTTTGCTCAATAGGTCTTAAGGTGGCTCGATACAGTTTTCCAGGGCCAATACCTCCCAAGTTTGAGCATAAACTACGTCGCCATAAACAAAGTTTTGAAAAAATTGTCACCACAGTTGTATTAGATAAAGATGAAAATTTGTTGTGTTCAGGGTTGCAATGACATCGGAGTTGTCATAGCAACGAAATGACGCTATTACGTATTTTACTTACAGCGGTATATATCGGCACTGGGAACTGTTCTTCCAAAATCATTCACGGAAGCTTTTTCCTCCAATAGCGGCCTCGATGTTCGTGAAGTTTAAGCGAAATCTGTAAGAGCGTTATCAAGATATTTTGGGACAAAGATTTTGTGGTTAGAAATACGGTAAAAAATGGACAATCTCTATGTTCGCATGTTATCTGTAGAAAACGAAGCGCTTTTAACATGCAATTTCACCTCATAGTAGTTTCAATCTTTTAAAAACGTGTGTGAAAGATCATGTAGATAGCTCCAGCCGATTGCTAGAAAGAAAGATTTGATTAGTATGTATCCAGGCGCTCTTGTTAGCGGTTTTTGAATATTTTGGTCTACTAGCAAATAGTTTTTAAACCGCTCGATAGATTTTTTAAAAATTTAAGATTCTTGAGATCAACCTTCCTTTTATATGACCTTTTAGTTTCAAGATTATTGATATATTGTAAGGCAGTAAAATAAGGGCTACAATTCGCTAATATTTTGGCTGAAATTTTGATTAGGCTAATACCACAAACACAAACAATGGTTATGTTTGATGATCAATATTATGAAATGGTAATAAACCCAGCAGTGGGCATAATATCTATAAATTAGTGGTGTTCCTATACAAGTTATTCACAGTTTTAATTCAGGAAATATTGGACTTGCATTTAGTACTCAATAATACAAGAACATTGACTATTAAATTATTCTTGTGAAATTACACTGTGAGGTGCAAAAAAGACCCTGGTTCCAACTCACTTGTAGAAGCTCTTTACTACAGTGTAACTGATATAGCAGGACAGATTAATTAAACAACCAGAGTGGATTTGTGTCTGCTTATCATTCAGCTTTTGAGGGTGTTTTAGCGACCACTTCTTTAATGAAATTAAAGGATCTGTGTCACCACACGTATCATAATAAAATTTATATGATAGGAACCGGCACCAAGAGGGTATATTAACACAACAAACACAAAAAGAGGCTCGGATGGACAAACTTGACACAAAGCTGTGATTTTGTCATTCACAAGTTATTCTTTAAGTTCCATAGTGAACAAGGAAGTGTAATTGGCATTATAATACTAGCAGAGTGAATTAGACAGCACGTGACATGTTATAATGAAAATTAATAGTAACTCCAAACCAGCTTGATAGAAGTTTTTTAAACTTTGTGAAAAGTTGATTCTTGAAATTCAGTAACAACAAAGGGAGTTTAATACCAAAATAGTTGAGTTAACAACAAGGGTGTTTTTGATGGGCACCATTGTTACGTTATCATACAGACGTCAAGTAAAAGATGACCATAACTTCTTTACAGTCACTGACCCTTTCTAAAATCATATTATCAACTAAAAAAGTTCATAGAACTCATCTACACAGTGTTGAAAAATTGTTCATGTCAATGCTAAATGAAAATAATAAATGCTAAATTCATTGATAAAAATGATAATTGAATTTGCACATTATTACCAATATTCATCATCCTTGGGCAAAATATTATTCCCACTTGAGTCATAATGACGCATACTGATATTGTCTACGTATTCCGTTTAGGATCACGACTTGCGTCAAAACAGGTATTAGCATAAACACAATCTAACTCCCATGCCTACACATACTTCAATGGAAGAAAAAAAAGATACAGAGAGTAGGCTGCAAAATACCATTTGTTAAACTGTGCGGCTGTTCCAAGTATTCCTCCCATAAGTAAGACTGAAATGGGAATAAAAATAGGTGAATATAAGCTTTACTTTAATAGGGAAGTGCTTGAGCTTATATTGAACTGTCAAGTAGAAAAACGTGATTGTGAAAGGTCACTGATGCGTTACATCAACACGACAAAAATTTGAAAGCACGAAATTTTAGAGGCGATGAGAGGATTCAACGTTTACAAAGACTAAACACACAAACACACACACATAACTATCCTAGGGTATCATTGGAGTTCAAAGAACAACAACTGCGGCAGAAAATGACCACAAATGAAAAATGCTTAAGTTACGCTAACTCGACTTTGCAGGCTTTTGGATCATCCAGCACCGTTGGTCACCGTTAATAAAAGCGTCTCAGATCTTTCGTAAAATACTATACATGAAAATATACCAGCTTGGCTTTGCTATTTAAGTTTAGGTAGTAACCAGTTTTCTAACACTCATACTTACCAACACTGGCGATAACACCTTGTTCATTAGCCCACATCGCCCATTCTGTACCCATTTTCAAGACTTCAGGAAATTGAAACCTGTTGCCCTGAGCTTGGAAATTCTTTAGCTTTGTACACAGTAGAGTTTGTATGAGATGATTTAGAGCCCTAAAAGCCTCAACAACGGCTTGACGTCAAGACTACACACAAGAGACGAACACTCTCTGTCAAGGACTACTGCTAACTGCTTTGCTGTTTATAGGAACTCGCGAGGAACTCGCTAGGAACAACCAACTGTGTGACGTGAGCTGAACTATTACATAAACTTTCCAAATTAGGTCATGGTTTTTGGCGTGACAGGAAGCTCTGAAGGAAGAGACTGTCAGCTAGGGATTCATTTTAGAAGAAAACTAAAGCAACATGTATATACTTTAGTTTTTAACAAGTAGATAGGCAGGTCCACATCAGGACTTCAGTCTTGCGTATTCTATAACCTGCGTTACCAAATAAACTATGTATGTATGTATGTATGTATGTATGTATGTATGTAAAACTACCTGGTTTCTTTTGAAGTTTCAAAAAAAAATCTTTTCACGTTTCTATACGAAATGAAACAGTGTAGTGGAGGTTTTGCTCAATAGGTCTTAATACTCCATGCTAAGATTAGGCACTATTATTTGCGGAAACTATGACGCATTTTTTCCCTACTACATGTATTGCTATTCGTAAGGAAGCAAAATTTAAGCTCTAAATATTTTTAGCGGGGCTCGCGCGCGTGGGACAGAGCCCCATACTCATAGAATATGGTCAACCTCTTTTCTTTTGGCTGTCACGTGACTGACCGAGCGTACGTACGCGTCTACAGATTGTACTGGTAGGGTAGGGGAGACTATCAAAAGGAAGGGAGGGGTGTCTAAGGCTTGTCTTGGCAAATCCACATCTTTTACATTGGCAATTCACAATATGGTCAATTGACAGCTGTCAAAACAGGATAGCCACTGACCCATATCACATTGCCATATCGAGGGCTCATGTGTCAACTCATCAAGGTGACGTGATTTATTTGGAAGCTATCCGCTGACCAGTTGTTTTACTAGATCGCGATCAATGTTCAATCTCATACTTTCTAGCTAGTTTGAGAGCACAGGAAAACTGATACACACATCCATTGGACATCAATGTTTTTGATTGATCAATTGACAGCTGTCAAAACAGGGTATCCGCTGACCAGTATCACTTGACCGTATCGCGGGCTCAGGTGTTGCCCCGTCGAGGTCAAGTATTTTTTTGAAGTTATCCGCTGACAAGTTACTAGTTTTCAAATGATCGCAGGCTCAAGTTTGATTTTTTTTTCATTCATATGGAATATGTTTTGTTTTTGGGCCGCACAATTAAAATTTTGATTTAAAACTGACCTCGGACCCGAAAATTCAACCAGCTATTATAGGCAAGACAGTTGCTTTTGACTTTGCTCACCACGGTCACGCGTTGGTCACGTTCTACGTCCCTTTTTTATGCTCTGATTGGTCAAAATTTGACACATGAGCTCATGCGGAAAATTTATGCAGCATCTTGAATCTTGTTTACTTTGACAGCTGAAGCTGAGAGAGTTTTGTGTCAACTTGTGATGTTTTTAACTGTCTTTTTCCACTGGATGCACAAAATGAAATTCAGCTGCTATCAGGAGCCTTCTGTTATTCATGGCTAGTTGGTTTTTGGTTGAGAAATTAATACATCACTTGTCAAAGTCGGGAATCCGATTTCGGATGGCAACGTTACAACGTTTTTGTTTTTCACCTTTCTTGATGCGTTAAGGTTGAAAAGTCTGAAGCGATACTAGCTGATACTGGCCTTACTTGATACCTTTCAGGAGCTTCATCTCGAATAGTAAGCCTCAGTAATTATTGTGTTTGATGTTTGTTTCTTATATCTAATTTAAAGAAGTCGAGCGTAGTTTATGCGGCTATGTAGTTTATGCACGTTTGTAAGATTTGAGACAATTTGATCTGACCAAGAATCAGGTAAACTTGATATAAGCTTACACAACTTTAAAAAGTCTTTAGACATTTTCTCACCGCAGATACTGGAAAGAAAACGTTTCAAAGAACATTTAGTTATAATTCGGGCTGTAAAAGAAAGCTTTGAGCGATTTTCTTGCCTCGAGTTCATCTGTGAAAAAAGTAAATACCGGGAAGCCGGCTTAAAACATAAACTTAAGCTTTAAGCTTGAAGACTCAGGATTTTTAGAGACACTTTAATATTTGTCTTCGTGAATGAAAAATGTTGTCTCTGTATATGTTTCGCCGAATTATATTTCCTTTATTGATTGTTGGTAGTCTCTCTTGTAATTTTAATCGCTGTGCCGTTTGTTTTCAGTCGTTCAGTGAACATCGCTTGCAGGAGTACTCAAAATGCCGCGCGTATCAAACACTTTTAAAGATTACAGATCGATAAAACCATTAAATAAAAAATAAACATAATAATGTCTTTATTATGTTGGAGCTTAACTCTAGTATATTCGTACAAACATTCGCTACAGCTCGCACTGCAAAAGTGAGAACCGGCTGGCTGTATATGTGATTTTGGACATTTTTTTAACGGTTTAGCTAAAAGCCCACGCGTGCTTCGATCGTCCTGAATATTAAATGAGTGCAATTTCTGTTGCAAAATTGTGAAATACTGCATTCTGTCCGAGGTCTGTATGATAAAATCAGTACCTCATAGTACTGTTTCACCTCAGATGCGATGTATAAATGGTATAAAAGGTTGGTTTACACGCAACCAGATTTGTTGGCAAGATTATGTAAAGTAAACTTGTCGAACGCAAAAAAATTCAACCTGATTTTTTTTCCAGGCCTAATTTATCTTACGGTGATCAAGAGCCATTATGGCTCTTAAATGTGATCGAAGATGATTGCTATTTTTTGGGTGTACATATGAGGTTATCAACTCGATGTAAGATTTTGTTCACTCTTGGGCTGTTTGCAAATTATTTTTCTCTAAAATCACTTAGCCTTTCCCTCAAAAGTCACATGAATGTGCTATGTGCTCTAAAGTTAACTAAATTGTGGATACAAGTTTATTGTTTGATTTAAACTATAAAAAAAATTAATGGGAGCCTCGCTTTTAGCCCTGGCTAAATCTATATATTATCTTGGACTTCGTATTTCAATGGTTATTATGTCACGCAAATTATTCTAACGTGACTGCGCCCGCAATAAAAGATAAAATGCCATGCGCAAGGAGAAGTAAACATCACATGTACATTTTCGCGCCAAAATAAGAGCAAAGAACCGGCAACATGTCTTCTGTGGCGGCGATGGAACAAGCGACTTTAGGTCAATATTTTAGCACAAGAAAGAAAGGTCTGGAAGATTTCCATCCTGCAAAGCGAAGGAAAGTTGATGCGACAGACATTGAAAGCGAGGTTTCTATCAGAAGGAGTACGCGAGCGAAGCGGCAAGTGGCGTCCTCTCAAACAAAGAGCAACGCTCGAGCTCGCAGAGGAGCTAAAAGCAGAGTGAAAGAGTCTTTGAATGAAAGAAATTGCGAATCTTCTGAAATACTAGATAACAACGTTGTTAGCGAAACAACGTCATTGTGTGATGATCATGCTTTCGCCGAAGCTTTGATCGGAAAGTTATCGGACGCGCAGCGAAAGCGCAAGATGGCGTCCAAAGGAATAGTTGAAACTGACGACCTCACCGCGAGCGTCTCCAGGGACAGCAAACAGGCGCAAGAAAATAGTCAAGACGTCGAACCCAAGCAAAGGAATCGGAAGCGAACGCAGAGAACTTCAAAGAAACAACCAAAAGACACAAAAAGTATGGAGGGAAAGTTAGTTTCTTCTCAGTCAAAGACGGATTGCTCAGAAGACCAGACGTTGCGCGAGGCCGATATCCCAGCCAACAGGGAAGCAGAAATTCAGGCGTCACCTTGCAAGACTCCACCTATTGTGAGAAGGATCGATGGTGGTGTAAAAAGTAATCCATGGATCGCAGAGCAGGCAAGAATGGTTCTAAGCCGAGGTAGAGCAGCGGTGAATATGAGTCAACAAGGAAAGAGAAAGATCAAGGATTGTGTTCAGATCACCTCCACCAATGAAAGCAGTTCAGGTTAATATTCTCTTCAGATGTAGTATGTCTTAGTTATAAAGGATTTAGAAAACTGTTCTCAAGAACAGCAGTCTTGGAGACGCACGCATAATTAGTAGCAAAAAAAAGAGAATGGTTTTGCAAATCCTTTTTTGAAATTCCCAATAAAATGGCAATCCAGCTGTTTATTTCTTAATTGTAGGACAGGTTTTTTATAGTCAAAATCAGTTATCAAAGGCCAATCCGTTTTTGGCATTTTATTGCAAATTCAAAATGTGGATTTCAAATAATACTAAATCCAGTTCTCCCAATCAAATGTACTCTAAGACTAGCATCCACCTGCTAGGGGCAAGAGAAATATTATTTGACAGCTCCTTATCTTTAAGGATTTTATTTTTTTTTTTTTCAAGTTAAAAAGGCTGGCTGTTTCTCTAGTTGGATAGCAAGAATAGGACATTGTAGAAAAGAAGCTTGGAATTTTTTAGCCTGATGGCAGATAGAGTGATGATGGAACATATATTGTTAATATTCTAACAGGTCATAGAATTTTCAATAGAACACATCAGATTTCACATACATGGACAGTGTTCTATTCCTTTGATACTTTAGGAGATTGAATTACATACTAGTTTTTTCTCATTTTCTTGCAGTGAGAAGCTCTAAAACCGGAGGAAATGCCAGCAAAGCTGAAGAAGACCTCGCCAAGGCAAGGAAACTGATCAAAAGCATGAGGTCACTAGAAAAAAGTGCATCCAAAAGTTCACAATCTGCTACTGAGGATAATAAACAGAGGCTTCACCAAGTCGCAAAGGAGGTTCCAGCCTATGAAAGATTCCATGCCCTGGCTCAGCCCAGTCCAACAGTAGTATCACCTGCAACTTTACCCCTCCCCTACAAGTACAAGAGTTTGGCAGAAATGTTCCGCTGCACTGATACAGTGCTGAACCTGCTGGGACAACGGAAAGAGAAGTGTACGTTCTCAAAGCTCAGAGATGCTGTACAGCAGATGTCCAGAAAGTAAGATTGTGAACATTCATTTTTGATCTCTGGAGGTTGCCTTTGTTAATCAATACAATCTACATCTTAAATCAAAGGTCTTCTTTAGGGATAAGCTTGTCGCCATTTCGTGCAATGAATAAGGTGGGTTGTTCACTAAGGGCCAGGGTTTTCCCCTGGCTCAGTGTTCTCCCTAAATTTTAGCTCAGCAGGTAAAGGACCATTCAAGGCAAAAAAAATAAACTAGACGCACAATTTCCTGGGGGAGGGGGGCTAAGTTCTTGGAACGTCATTCCCTCATCTTAAGACCTATTTTATGCAAATTGGTCATTGTTGTCTGTAGACAACAATTATTTAAAACGTTTAGTTCCAATAATTTTACTCTGTCTTCAATGTTCTCTTTCCAAAATGCTTGGCTGAGTAAAAGAAAAGCTGTGTATTCTCTAGGACTTTTCCAAACATTCATTCATTTCCTTGTGAGAATCAGCCGATCAGATCACCACTGTTGTGTCTTAATTGCATATTGAAACCAATTCGAATGGATTATTAAGTCTACACATGGAACACTCCGGATCTAACCTGCCATGCTTTTAATAATCAATCCCATGATCCTTTGCACACTCAGATATCATGTAAGCTATACTGAAAGTACACTACATCCCTTCCTTTTTCAGAACACCATATACTAGGGAAACATAAAACGACCTTAGAAAGTACATCCTCTTTGACCTTGTTTGACGCATCGACGTGTTGATCACATTTGAACTGAAGTGACCCTATTTCAGTGCGTCAAGTTATTATTGTGATCGCTTCATTGAATTGTGGCAGAATCGTTCTACGATTATCAATGAATAAGTGAACTCATATCAAAGTCTTTGAACTTCTCTGGTAACTTCTTATAACAAACTGGTCTGGTAGATATAGCAGCTCTAGCTTCTCCACAATCCGTCTCAAGCCCTGTCGGGGCTGGTCTCTTTGAGACAGCATTCCATTCCTTTCCACCATCCGCCTCAAGATCTGTCGGTAGAGTAGGATTCTCTTCTTGAACATCCTCTTCAACAGGCAGAGAAACAGTTTGACTTGGCATGGGTGGCGGTTCCTCATACTTTTTAATGTGCGCAGTATTCCTTTTTAACTCAACACCCTCAGGAGACTTGATAATAATGCTGCTGCCATTCGTTCTAACAACGTCATGCGGTTCTGGTGCAAATGGTGTCAACAACTTGTTTTGCTTCTCTTGTTTTTGTAACACTCTGTCACCTGGAACTAGATCTGAATACTCTTCATGCCTCTTCTTGTCTGCATATAACTTAGCTTTTGCTTTTTTTTCTCTGTCCCTGTCTTGCACTTCACTCGCTACATGGTCTTTGTGGAATTCAGTTAACTTGGTTTGGATTTTTCTTCTAAACAGAAGTTCAGCAGGTCTCTCTCAAGTGGTGGTGTGAGGAGTCGATCTGTATGCTATCAAGTATTTGTGAACTTCTTCCTTCCACTGTTTGCCCTTGGTATGCGTTATCTGCATCCTTTTCAAAAGAGATCAGTTCTGCCTTTCCACCTCGCTATTTGCTTGGGGCCGTAAATTAAAGGCGTGGTCTTCATGTGCTTATCACCACATCCTTCCAAATATCTTTCAAACTCACTTGAAATAAACTGCAGCCCATTGTCTTTGGTTACTGATAGTGCTAAACCATGAATCATGAAGATTCTCTCCAGACTCTCAATGATCTTCTCAGATGTTGTGGAACACAAGATCTCAATTTCATAATATCTGCTGAAGTAGTCAACCACAACTAACACGGAGTCACCTGATGTTAAAGGACCAAATAAATCCAGGGCCAAGTCTTGCCATGGACCTCGTGGTAAGGGGATTGACTTGATTGGCTCAGGGTGAGCAGGACTGCTTACTGCTTACTAGATGGCATCCAAGACAAAATATCCAAGGGTTTCTGCACTTGATAATCTGCTCTTCAGCTCATTGAATGCTCTTCTCTGCTCATCTCCAAACCCGAAACAAACCCCTTTCTTTGTTAATTTACGCAAAGGTTCAGCTACTGTGGCAAAGTCCGGGATAAACCGCGCCTTGTAGTTAGCTAGTCCGAGGAAGCTTCTAACTTCGGAGGCATTCTGTGGCTCACTTGCCTCAACAACACCTTTCACTTTCTCTTCAGTTGGTACAATGCCCTTGTTCATTAGTATCAGTCCCATAAACACTAGCTTGATCATGTAAAACTTGCACTTTTCTGCATTTACTGTCAGGTTTTTCTCTTTCAATTTCTCCAAAACTTGCTTTAACCTCTCATCATGCTCCTCAGTGGTTTTTCCATGCACCGTTATGTCATCAGAGATGTTTCCAACTCCTTCACAGTCACTAAGCGCTTGCTGAATAACATGCTGATACACTTCTGGGGCTGAACGTATTCCAAGCATCAGGCGCTTATACTGAAACAATCCACAATAAGGGATGAAGGTAGTAATGCTACAGGAATCTGGATGGAGTCCTAGCTGACGGTAACCCCATTTTAAATTAAGCTTGCTAAACACTGTGCTTTGGTTGAGGCTTTGGAGTACTTCATCCACGTTAGGTATGGGGTAGTGTTCTCTGATTGTTGCTTCATTGGCTCTTCACATGTCTACTGAAAGCTGAATTTCATCATTCTGTTTTGGTACCACCACTACTGGACTAACCCATGGTGTCAGACCATTTACTGGCTCAATAATATCCATGCTTACAAGTTCCTTGACCTTTTTCTTCACCCTGTCACGGAGGCTGAACAGAGTGCGTCTGACTGGCTGAGCCACCGGGGGTACATTGGGATTGACATGTAACTTGACCTGATAGTCTTTTAACTTGCCCACACTATCAAACACTTCTTTGTAATCTGACATGATCATTTCAATCCTTTGGACTGTAGTGTATAGACTGGAACACCTGACTTCAACAGTTTCTCTTCCAAGCAGTACTTCTCCTTCACCATCAATGACAACAAATTCAGCTTGAACTTCACTCTCAGCTACTTTCGTCGATGCTGAAAATGTCCCCAAAACTTTTAGCGGCTCCTTGCTTCCGTATGCATAAAGCCTCTTGTCACACTTCTTGGATACGCAGGCAATCTCTGCTGCTTTAGTTAACTCCATAGGCCTTTGTCTACAACATTAGTGGTCGCACCCGAATCAATCACCATTTGCAGAGCACATCCACCCACAATCACCTCCACTTTTTCAGGCTGTGACATCGATTTTACAGTGAACACATACTCATCTTCATTGTCATTGTCTCCTCCCTACATGTATCTTACCTTCCCCTTCTCTTTTAGCTTCTTATTGCTTTTGGTTTGCCTGTCTTGGTTCTGCATTGCAAAGCAAAATGATCAGCACCACCACGTCTTGCAGGTTTTTCCTTTCGCAGAGCGTTCAGGATCTCTACCAAAATGTCCCATGTGGCCACTATGTTTTGTTTTCTCCTGACTTCTTCTTCCCTTTACAGTGATGCTTGCTTTCACGTGAGTCCTGAATCTGATTCACATTAGCAGTTTTACTCATCATACCCTCCAGTTGAGCTTGTGTGGCTTCATAAGATGCTGCTGTTTTAAGAAGAACATGTAGGGTTAAAGACCTTTCTCCAACAATTTCCACCTTTAGTCATGGGGCATACTCTGCTGAACAACTTGATCTTGAGTTTGATTATCCCCCTGATCACCATAATCGCAATCTTTCACGACCTGTCATAACCTTGTCACAAACTCAGAGCCACCGTTTCACCCTCACGCTGTTCCGTACTCTGGAAGACATGATTTTGGTATGTCGAATTTAACCGTTGGAATGAAATACACATTTAATGCATTTACAGCTTTCTCATACTCGGCGGCTGTGCCCATGTCAGCTAAAGCCTTGAAGATTTCTTGTACTTGTTCCCCAGCACAATGCAAAAGTAGAGCTCTTCATTGTACTTTATTGTCAGCTTTATGTGCTTGAATGATGAGGCCTTTGCTGTCAGCATATAATGAAAAACTTTCAAGCCATTGTTGCCATGGCCTGCCAATGCTCGATGGGTCACAGTTACATGTAGGAGTTATGATCATCTGGGTGAGTGTAGTCTAGACTTTCTCCAAAGTCCTTTGCTTCTCATTTCTGGTTCTGGTAGTTGGCCCCATACAGTGCTGAGGACTTTTATCCCCTGCAGCGGGCCAAATTTACAGGAAGAATTTTCTTCCTGTGGGTTTTATCCAATCATGAACGGTTTTACTGATGCTCCATCAATCAAACCTGATCACGCAGCATGAAACGTGACTAGAACTGTTGCTCATGACGACACACGCACGTGACAACACATGCAAAAGGGACGCAAATAGTTCGTGCCAAAATGACTTCACCTGTTGCAATTTTTTGTAGGGGAAAGAAGTCGAGCTCCTGCTCTCTCGCTCACTTTTGCCACAGAAAACAAAAAGTCTACCGCTCGCACTTCGTGCTCGTGAAAAAATTTGAGCTTCACTTTTAGGCACGGCTTAGTGTGGTCCTGAAGAGGACTGTTGTTGACAGTGACGGACATCTCTTCTCAGATTTGTTTAGCATTATAAGTCAGTCATTTCTGTCTAGAAAATTAGTCAAACTTTTTTATTTCTGAATTAATATTAATTATAGGAGGTTTGAGAAGAAACACTTGGCACAGATGAAAACTGTATATCCATCAGCCCTAGAATTCCGTCAAGACAAGTGTCCTGGGAAATCTTCTTCATTTGAGTTGACTATCGAGTTTGGAAAAACTGAGGAGGCAAATAAGAAACTAACGCTGACTGCAACTGAATTGCTAGCAAGGAAAGATGCTTTTGAGAAACGTCTACTGAAATTAACCAAAAAGCACCATCAGGTACTACTCCACAATTATGTATGTTCTGTTGACTCACTAGTGTGTAAACACGTAATACTTCTGACCACTTTAATTCCTGAGCCCCCGCTTGTGTTATGTGGGTTAAAATAATCCCACAGTTGATGTCATTTACAGTAAGTTTGTTGTTGGTTCTTGTTCTTACTCCAAGAGGTTTATTTCAGGAACGGCTTTAACCTATTTTGAATTGTGCAAAAAAACACCTTTTGAAGCTAGTTGACCATCTTCTGACCACTCTTTTCTGGCTATAAAGTGCCAAAACTTCTAAAATGTTACTTTAAGGTCAAGCACTTAATTGTGGCCTTCTGTTCCAGATGCAAAATATCAGCGTCTGAAGTTTAGACATGTACCTGTACAGAAAGCAACATTTCCAGCCAGTTTTAGGGCTTAAAAGTGACACAACATTCTGGAGTTTTGCCTTTCGCTTTGTCTTCTCCCCTCTTTTTTTTGCCTTGTTTGTTTGTTTTTGTTTTGTTTTGCTCGGCTTTTACTGCACTTCATTTTGGTGAAAAAAGTTTGAGAGAAAGCCTTTAGGATTGTCAGATTAGATGGAAAAAAGTGCTGTTTAGTAGAGCAACTAGATGACAGATTTTTCCTTGACTGTTAAAACTTAAATTCTTTTGCTTATTCCAGGATTTTCTTCAGAATCTTAACCCAGCTGTAGTGGTTGACGATGAGAAGATCATGCGATGGCACCCCAAATTTCGACTAGACGAAGTTCCAGATGTTGATGAAACTGCTCTTCCTCAGCCACCAGTGGTCAAGACATATAGTAGTGCTCATGATGTGTTGGAAAAAGCACGAGTAATGATGGCGCCAAGGGTATACACCTATTTGAGATATTAATACAAGAAGCATTATTTAAGTATTATACTTGATGTAGCAGTTGGCTTCCCTGTTTTTGTTTTCCTGCCCTTCAAGGTCACATGACCTGGTCTTTCTTTCTTCATGTTATGTTGTAGTTTTGGGCATTTACTCAAAGTAATGACTTGAAATCTAAATTGAACAACTCCATTGTTGGGGACACCTGTATTCAGCGCAGTGTTCGTACATTGGCACAAATCAAATCTTTAACCATCTATTGCAGTAAAAATAAATGTCTGTGTACAGAGTGAATAATAATTTATTTGTTGCTACTCTTGAAATAAAATGTTCAGTGAAAATAAGCCGTCACATGTAGATCAATTTGCAAGGTAAAATATTTTTAAGAACAATAAAAAAATTATTTATTTAATATTATACGTTTTTCCACAACTGAGGTGGTGTGTAGAATCCCAGGACATCTTGTCAGTTACAGTGTGCTTATTATACTAGGATGTCTTTTTATTGTACATCGTCATCTTGTACAGATTGGAAGACAAAGTTGTTGTGAGCATAATTATTTAAAAATCAGCCCAGTCAAAATGAGCCGGCAGCTGGCAATTTTGCTGCTTCCAGTGGAATATTGTCGCCTTCTCAACACTTGAGTTTAATGATATTACACCTGTGNAAAACTTCTAAAATGTTACTTTAAGGTCAAGCACTTAATTGTGGCCTTCTGTTCCAGATGCAAAATATCAGCGTCTGAAGTTTAGACATGTACCTGTACAGAAAGCAACATTTCCAGCCAGTTTTAGGGCTTAAAAGTGACACAACATTCTGGAGTTTTGCCTTTCGCTTTGTCTTCTCCCCTCTTTTTTTTGCCTTGTTTGTTTGTTTTTGTTTTGTTTTGCTCGGCTTTTACTGCACTTCATTTTGGTGAAAAAAGTTTGAGAGAAAGCCTTTAGGATTGTCAGATTAGATGGAAAAAAGTGCTGTTTAGTAGAGCAACTAGATGACAGATTTTTCCTTGACTGTTAAAACTTAAATTCTTTTGCTTATTCCAGGATTTTCTTCAGAATCTTAACCCAGCTGTAGTGGTTGACGATGAGAAGATCATGCGATGGCACCCCAAATTTCGACTAGACGAAGTTCCAGATGTTGATGAAACTGCTCTTCCTCAGCCACCAGTGGTCAAGACATATAGTAGTGCTCATGATGTGTTGGAAAAAGCACGAGTAATGATGGCGCCAAGGGTATACACCTATTTGAGATATTAATACAAGAAGCATTATTTAAGTATTATACTTGATGTAGCAGTTGGCTTCCCTGTTTTTGTTTTCCTGCCCTTCAAGGTCACATGACCTGGTCTTTCTTTCTTCATGTTATGTTGTAGTTTTGGGCATTTACTCAAAGTAATGACTTGAAATCTAAATTGAACAACTCCATTGTTGGGGACACCTGTATTCAGCGCAGTGTTCGTACATTGGCACAAATCAAATCTTTAACCATCTATTGCAGTAAAAATAAATGTCTGTGTACAGAGTGAATAATAATTTATTTGTTGCTACTCTTGAAATAAAATGTTCAGTGAAAATAAGCCGTCACATGTAGATCAATTTGCAAGGTAAAATATTTTTAAGAACAATAAAAAAATTATTTATTTAATATTATACGTTTTTCCACAACTGAGGTGGTGTGTAGAATCCCAGGACATCTTGTCAGTTACAGTGTGCTTATTATACTAGGATGTCTTTTTATTGTACATCGTCATCTTGTACAGATTGGAAGACAAAGTTGTTGTGAGCATAATTATTTAAAAATCAGCCCAGTCAAAATGAGCCGGCAGCTGGCAATTTTGCTGCTTCCAGTGGAATATTGTCGCCTTCTCAACACTTGAGTTTAATGATATTACACCTGTGAACGAAAACCACACAAGTTTGAGCCTTTGTTGCTGCTGCTTTGTCTGTCCTGCTTACCTCTGGAAATATTTTTTCTGGGCTGGTAACAAAATGTTGCTTAAAAGGATGCTTTCCATAGTTTTCTTGGTCAATGTTTATTTTGCTTAGGTTGAGAAAGCATTACGAACAGTTGCCAAGGAACAAGACGAGAAAGAGCAGAAAAATACCAACAAGCACAGTAACCTGCCTGAGGACAAAGATGCAAAAACCAAAGAGAATACTCAGAACAAAAACAACTGCAAAAATAACACAGCCTTGAAAGGGATCTCACAAGATTTGCTCAATAAGGTAAGTGCAAAGCGCACAACACATCATCTTTACAAGTTTTATCAGAAGCTCATTGCAGACTGCATAGATGTGTCAATTTGAACTCAAACTGTTGTCATCTTTACTGTTTCAGTGATGGTCTTGACCCTTGAAAGCAGCTCTACTGTGTCATTTTAATAATACATAGATTTAGCCAAGATTAAAGGCAAAGCTCTTGTTAATAAATTTATAATTTACTTCAAACAATAAACTTGTAACCATTACAAAAAAATTCTACTTGGAGTTGAGCCAGCAATCAGTTAAAAACTGACAAAAATTATTTGTCAGCGGATAACTTCAAAAAAAAACATGTCATCTTGATGGGTTTACACCTGAGCCTGCAATATGGTCAAGTGAGACTGGTCAGCCAATACCATGTTTTGACAGCTGTCATAACATGGATGTGCGATATCAGGGTGCAGGCTCCCACACTGGCTTGAAAGTGTGAAATTTCACATTGGTTGCCCTGTGGGGAAGACTGATGGGCAGAAGTAGGTTCATGTTACTACCAAAATTTCTCGGATGGATAGATTTCCTTATTAATTTTTCTTAGATTTGGGGTTACACTTGCGGGCTTGGAGCTCAACTGAAATGATAGGCTGCTCATTAGTTAACATTTGAATTTGTTGATGAATGTTGGAGCTTGTTACAAAGGGTTTATTCATGTCTTGTTGATTTTAGATTCGCCAGAAGGAAGCAAAGAAAATTGAAGAATGTATGATGCGAGATCCATTAGTTGACAAGAAACTTGCCATGAAAGAACGTCTTCCTGATTTGTGTAGAATACTTAAGGCGTATCCTTTATTAATGTGAACATTATGAACACGAATAGGCCAACTGATGGTTCTTTCCCTTAAGACAAAGTTTTAACAGTAAACAAACTTAACCAATATTTCCTTGACTGTGACCTAGTTATTTTGTGACTGAGCGCAAAGCGGCTATCCCTTTGGAAGATGCAACAGCAAAACTATCAGAAAGCTACAAGACCTCCTTGTCTCAAGGTATGCATGAGGCCTTTTCCTTTCAATAACATCCTTAAATCAGTTTATAGAGACAGAAGTTTTACAGTTAATTTTAAAAAAAGTGCATTGCTGTTTAACATGGGGTTTCTGTGACATTAATAGTATTATTGCAGGAAACAGAATGTTGCTTGAGTTAAATTTATTTGTGATGTTTTCTGAACTTATTGGCAACTTATCATTATTATTAAAATTGTTATTATTCATAACAATAAGAATATTTTTATTACTATTATTATTCATTTTATTATTAAAATGATTAAAATTATTATTATTGTTATCATTGTTATAATAATCATTAAATTATTATTATTACATTCTGTAGTTCAAGTGGAGGAACACATCAGATTTATGTCACAGCTTGTTCCAGAGTGGATATCAGTTCTTACAGTACGGAAATGTGCCTATGTGAAAATCAACAAGACTGCAGATGTAAACAATGTGATTAACAAGCTCATCACTAAAGATGTCCATTAAACGTCCGGGTTAGTTTTTGAAGTTTTAACAGTGAAAGAACTTGATCTTGTTTAAATCTAGTGGAACAGCCTTTGAGTTCATTATCTTCCAATATGGAAAGAGAAACTTGAGCTGTCAAAAGTTTGCAATTTACAGAAACTGAGACATTTGGATTCCTTGGCAGCTGTGCATGCAGATTAGACAGTTGTAGAACAAACATGGAAAAAGTTGGAAATTGTTCCTAAGAGCTTGATGCTTTAATCACACTAAAATGTGTATGAGTCATCTCCTAGACTCAAACAAAAAAATCGACCAATCTTCTACTTTTGCAGTGCAGTACTTTATTAACAACTTGAGGATGCTGACAGTAATGCAGGACGACATTGTTCTGTAACTCAACTTGTATGACAGACAAGATGGAACTAATCTCTTTTTAACAGAATTATTTTTGTGTTCGCGTGAGAAATGAAGCAGTTTTTACATTATTTTACTAAAAAAAATTATTAGTTTCAATACATATTTTTTTAATATTAGGGCTAACTATGTTGTTAATATTCTAATCTTGTGGCCTGTTAGTGAATTTTTACTAGGCAAGGATTTAAACCTTGGCCATGTTTTCATCATTAAAAGCAGCACTTTGTGGCTAAAAGACAACTTTAATTTATCATCATACATTTGCTTTTACTGAAGGTAGTAGAAAAGTAAAATTATTTTACTGTTAATTTTATCAATAAGGGCATCAAGATTGAATGACCATGTGACTGTCCCTATGTTAACTTGTTGGTTTATATGAGAGGGATTTTAAATGAAACAGGTAAGTAATAGAAAACGTTTTCCATGTTTGCATAGCCTGATATAAACACTAGAGGGGTTCGGAGAATTCGTGGGTTTGCATAACTATTGAGAATTCTCCCAACTCCTTGAGTGTTTCTATCAGGCTATGGAAATACAGGAAAACAGTTTTCTATTGCTTTTATACATTAACTTTCCCGAGACAAAACTCAAAACTCTTTTTTATGGCACTGATTAAAAGAGAAATTTTTACTAGCTGCAAAGTCGTGCATGCGCAATAGTTCTTGTTTTGCAAAAAAAATGCTCTCCAAAATATGTATTTTTAGTCTCACTTGCGTAAGCAGCGAGACTAATAATCTGCAACGCGATTTTTGCCCCGGGGGGGGGGGGGGGGGGGGGGGGGTCCCTTTAGGCTTATTGGGTTTTGGCCGCACCAAAGGCAAGGTTTTTTGTAGCGTTTTTGTGTTGAAAAAGGGGTTTAATTTCCGACTTTTGGTTTGAAAAAGGGTTGGGTTTTGTAACCTCTAGTTTTGATTGGGTTTTTTTTTATTTTTTGGCACAGATTATAAATCACAAATTTCGCACCACAGAAATAACTACAAGGTAATATTTTTTTTTCTGCAAAAAAAAAAGACCCGACAAAATCAATTTCTATCACCGAAGCGAAGAGGGGGGGAAGAATAGGATCGCACGAGGAATTTTGGCGGGGGGGGGGGGGGGGGAGGGTGGGGTGGTCCCTATAGGCTATATAGGTATATGCCGCACCAAAGGCTAGGTTTTTTGTAGCTGTTTTGGTCTGAAATAGGGTATCAATTTCGATCATTTTGGTCTGAAATAGGGTATGGTTTGTACACTCTAGTCTTGAATTGGGTATGTTTTTTAGAAGAATTAGCCACTTCTTCATCATTTGGCAATAAGACCATTTCCCTTGTAATGTTTATGCCCAGTAGGGACTTATAAGTGTCAGTTTATGGTCTGGCTGTTGTTACCCTTCTTTCCTGATGTTCCCACAGTGTTAACAGCTAAATGTAAGTACTGGACATTGTTCTGACAATACTGTGGCATATATATGTCTCAATATCACAACCTTATCCCCAACAAAGCAGGGAGATGATGGCAAGAGAGAATTGGGTTTTACTCCTGGGTGGCAGTCCTTCCACATTTCCTTAGTTGTTTTTGCCCCCACCCAACTGGGGAAAGACATGTAATGTAGGGGTTTATACAGTACTGTACTCTTGCTGTACCCGTTACTCCTGGTTAGCACTCTTTCCCTTGACATTCTTTTCCACGGTAATAATTATTACCTATAGAGTTAAATCAAACAACTTAAATCAGAAATGAGAAAACAGCAAACTGTATTACCAAGTCAAATTTTTGGTACAATACTTTCAATGTGTTCATAAAATATAAATGTTTTACTTCTATAATAATATAATACTTTATGGCTGGCCAAAAGGGTGCTGTAGTAGCTCCTTGTGCCTCTTAACTTTTCTATGACATACAGTCATTTTGACTGATATTTAGTTTTATTTAATTTCTACTTCGACCAGAGTTCTTCAGATAGAATTTTCTTGAGCCTTTTATGTATCCTTTTTCTTTTGCTTTGTTCCCATGGCAACATCTTTTCTGATGCACATTCTGATAGTAGAGGTGACAGTTTGTTTTGAATATGCACAGGAGCTCTTTTTAATAATCCTGGTTGTTCCCAACGTGATACCAGAATATCACGACAAATGACCTGCAGTAGCAAAAAGGACATACTCTTAGTCATTATATGATACATTTTTGTTTATTATTTACCATGGGATCATAGTTAATTAAAGTGGAATGGTTGGGAAACCCTTTGTTATATGTTTTTGCTGGCTTTTTTGGACCTGACCATGCACAATGTTCAATAGTATTCCTGTCATTTTGAACTTACTGACCAATAGAAACATAATGTATTAATTTATTCAGTTACTATTTGTGAACACAAAACAAAGGATTGTGCACGGTCAAGGAGCTTCCAACATAACCTACAGCACCATTGTTTTCAATTTTGATGTTTTCCAGCTTTCCTAGTTACTAGTCTCCTCTACGAACTATGTTGGGAATGAAAACATTTGTCTACGGACAGCTGATTGCCTTAAATTATTGGGATCAAAATTTAAGTCTTTTTTTATATAGTGAATGGCTGTTTTCACACTAGAGACAGATTATCCATCTGAGATGGGTTATCCGTTGGATAATTCACGTCAGACAGATAATACGTCTTAATTTGAATATGGAATGGTTTTACTTTTTGGATGAACAATCCGTCTGATTTTATCCTTCTTTTTACCTGTAAATTTTGACAGATTTTGAAGAAAGATAATCCGTCTCAGACGGATAATCCATCTTTAGTGTGAAAACGGCCAGTGTCAGCAAGGATGTCAGTAAAATGCTTATCTCAGTTAATTCCCCATTCAAAATAGTAGATTTGCCGATAAAAAATTTTCAAAACACTCCTAAAGTTTACTAATATCTCATTTTTTGGATATTGCTCCTATTTATTTTTACTTGTTTCATACTCAACGTACTAGATGTGATACAAACATGAACTCTAATACTAGACTGCGAGCAGTCTCTTATTCTTCTTTGGCAAGTAACGGCACATGAAAATCAAGCAGGCGAGTGGCGAAGCCGTGAGCCATGATAAACAAGGGCATAAGCCCGAGAAGAAAAAGTAAGAGACTGCTGACTCTTTTGTTCTGTTTGGGGACAACAAAGTTTAAATTGGGAGGCTTTCACCTTTTAGTTCGGAACTTTGCATCCCTTGTAACTGCTATAAATGTATTGTCTTCAAAATGTGAATAAAACACACAACCAGAACATTTTTTGAACTTTTTCACAGCCACAAAATTCTTCATCTGTTAGCCCCACAATGATTGATTTCCCTACCCTTTCATATACTTCAACAAGCGAAATCCCTACCCTTTCATATACCTGAAGCCTGGAAAAGGTACTCCTTTTAGGTAAAACCTCCCCATATAGGCCATTTTAGGGAGTACCCCCCACCCCCTGGGATGATGAACAGCCCTATTGGTTTAAAAGGTGGTAAGTGATCAAAACTTTTCTAACCTGTAAATTATTTGTCAGAATATTTCTGGAACATTGATGAACTGTCTGATTGCATGAAGAAACACAGTCAAAAAAGTCGCATTGTTTGTTACTTTCACAAGTTGGCTGTTCAAGAAAATCCTTCATTTGTCGTGTCGGGAATACAGTATCAATGTCCAAGGCTACAACTCGCATATCTTTGGTGATACCAAAATTTCCAGGCTGGATATCACAATGATGAAGTGTTCCTAGACTTGTGTTTGAAAATTCCTTTTCGAGACTTAAAAAGTCCAAAGCTATTTTCAAGCGTTTCTTCCAAGGCATTGGCTTTCTGAAAGGAGTAAATGTCAATTCCTCTAACGCTTGCACTTTTTCAACAGCATAGAATCTCCCACAGAATCCATACACTTGTGGTATGTGTTTCATGCTTTGTAGTAGCTGCAGCTTGATAAATTCATCTCTTTGTATTAAGAGCCACAAACTTGACATATCAGCCCAAGTGAGTTTACCCATGGGGTGGGGGTACCAGAGTTGTTCTAGCACCCTCTTTGGCTTCATCAAATCTTTCATTTGAAATAAAGATAGTTCATTCACTACATGTTCAAACACGTGCGACGTAAAGAGTTCCTGAATTCCACCTTGGTCATCTCCAGTAGTAATGCCATCATCATTGTCTGTCAATGAACCAATTGAAACTTTGTTATGGTGAAACTGAATGACATGTATTTAAGTATTTTAAGACTTAATCAGTGCAATGGAATGTCTCTAGATAGAGATGTGTGTTCAGTAAACACTCTGCCATAATATAATCATAATATAACATAGCTAACCTTGGTGCAAAGGACTACTTATATGGAACTTTTTTGGCGGTTGAACATCCACGTGCTGACACTGGTCTGGATGGGCTGGCGAGATCAAACATGGACTGAAGCAGCTTCATAGTGCCTTTTTACATGTTGATGTCCGATCTCACCCCCACAATTCAGCCATGGCCACTGGCTGCAAGAGAGGAAACACTGGCACCCCTTCGTTTTCATTTGTTGATTGGGGTAGGGGTGAAATGTTTGTGTTCCAGGCAAAGAAGGAGTACTAATATTTGAGGTGTGAGATAAAAGTAGGATGCATGCACATCTAGGGTCCCCCACTCCTGTTCCCATTATTACATTACTAAGGCCTGAAGTGATTCCTGATTTGATGTCAAATTCTCCCTTTATTTCAAAAGCATAAACAAGATTACTTGAAAGGAGAATTTAGCAGTTTATCAGAAGTCCCTAAGTGACTTAATTCCTTGAATGCCTTTAATAATGTTATCTTACCACCGTGTCCAGCATCAATTAGAGCTGTCAAGTCTTCAAAATGATGAGGTTCCCTCTTTGTCTTGAATACAATGTCATGATCTCTCCACGTTCCAGAAAACACAATGGTTGTATTCTTGTGAGCGAGGCAATCTTGAATGGCAAGCTCATGACTGTCACACAAGTCTTTGCAGAGATTTCCTCCAGTGATCCCGCGATTAAAATCTTGACACTTTGGTTAAACATGGATAATAATAAAATTATTTAACAGGGCGGCGGGTGATTCCCGGCTAAAGGCACGCATGATATGAAAGACGTGACCACTGCAGGATGTGGACGTTCCCACCTCCCAATTATTTTCCTTGACGACCCCCTAATCACCAATATTAGAAGCATATGCTTCCTGCCAATACATTTAATCTTGTTTTTAGATAGGATGACTCTTCCAACTCGACTATGACACGAACAAAATCTGTCAACCTGTTTTAGTATATGTAACAGATATTTCATTCTTACTTATGGATCTATTCTATTAAAATGCGATTTATTGCATACTGGTGAAACGATACGATGCAAGGGGTAACGGAACGATACATTCACTTCCTTGTGTAACTGTCACTTTGATTAACTCAAGACTTGGATAATGAGAGTTTTAACGTAACTTCGCACATGGTAACTGCCTTGATTGTTTTCATTTTCATCTGCTCACCTCCACCTATCCTCTTCGAACCTCGTGGTACGTAGGGCCTTTATTTTTATGATTCTGCAATAATATTTCCTGCATTGATGATGTTAATACTCACAAGTTGAATCAGTCGATCCTTTGCATGAAGTTCCTCGCAAGTCCATTGCCTTTCGATGTCACCGGCATTCTCTTGAATTACCCGATAAACGATGATAAGAAATGCAACTACAAATACATACCACAGCAGTCTTTTACCACTTATCCTGCCTCGCTTGCACCAAAGTCGCATCATACAATAAGACCGCCGCGGAGAAGAGTTTCATTTTAGTCAATTTTTTGTGCGTTACGTAAGGCGTGTCACGTTTTGAGTCACGCGATGTGGGGCCACGGGGATGACCTTTGGGTCACCTCAAAGAAAACATGGAAACGAGGTTTCTTTTGAAAATCGAGGTCATGGTCACGTACAAAGTGAACGGCTCATGGATTTTTAATCTAGCAAATTCATGTTTGAAGAGAATGAAGTGAAATTATTAGTGACTCAATCCAACTTGAAAATGAGATTAAATTAAAAAATGATATTAAAAACCGCATGCGCTGCGCTTTGTTAAACCGGAAATGATTGTGATGTAGCCAAAGAAAATTTATTTGTACTTCCGGTAGAAAATTTTAAAGCAAAAGGGAAAAACTCACACGAAACATCGTAATTCGCAAATCTGTGATTTTGAAATAAATCTCATACGAAACATTTTGCATGATAATTTTCCCGATTAGGTTTTGCTTCGCTAAATGAGCTCTTGATTCCTCAGGCACGTAAATTGCAAAATAAAAGGAAACCGGCTTTGGTCGACGCCCGTGAGAGCGCTGTTGTTTCCGAATGATTGTGCGCCAAATATGGACCAATTAGTTACACTACAGTAAAGACGCGTGCCACCATTGTTAAAGTAGCTTCTCGACCAATCAGAATCCTTGCTGAGTTACTTTATGTGCATTGTGTTGACAATAACATGTCATGTTCCTTTCTCCGCGTTGCAGAGGTTTGTTTTCGGCCAAGCGAAGCGGAAGTCATGTCATGAAAGGTATGAAATTTCGAGAAAATCGGACACGCATAGACTGAGATCATTGAAAGTTAGGCGGCAAGACGTGAAAGTTTTGAAGAACATCGCAAATTCTCCTGACGCTACACAATGCCGAGGGTAGTTGCCGAGCAGAGGCACAAGTTTGAAAATGACGATTTGTTTAGGAAGATGTCACGAGAAACTGAGGTGATTTGACAATTTCAGCGTTACATCACGAAGTTGTAAACTCACATGGCCCAATACAAGCCAACGCTATTGAACCGTTTTCGTCTATTTTCAGATCAAATACACTGGCTACAGAGATAGATCGCATGAGGAACGCATCGTAAGATTTCAAACAGAAGCGAGAGATGGACAAGCTACCGTAGTAAGTTGACGAAAACTATTCTTGAAGGAGTTGAGCAAAACTTTTGGCAAGATCATTGCGTGGTTTAAAGATGTTGTTGTGAAGGAATTCTTGTTTCCTTTCATTAAATTGCTACCCCTGGCTAATTCTTTTATTAACCATCCAGGCTTTTGTATCGTCTGGGACAAATTTCACTCTTCAATTCCCAAAAGGAGAAGATGGAACAGTACCTAAGGAATATCTAGACTTCGATCGCGAACCTGGCAAGGTACAGAAAATTCAAGATAATTTTACTCTCATTTCGGGGGTGTAATATGTAAAAAAACGCTGGTAATTTTTCATTATCTTGTATAACAAAAGCAAAATGCTATTTATTAGCTGTCGTGTTTTGGAATCTGCGTATTTTTGTAGATCTCTCGGTATTATTTTATCTTAATTTTAAAAACGATAAATCTGGACAACTGCCAGCACTTGAAATTGTGTGGGTAGCCATAGGAGTGCAGTAAAATTCCGCTTTTAGCCTAAAAAGGTATAGCGATGGACGCCCGACTTGAATTCTTTTTGAAAGTTTATTTGTATATAAACATCTGGCTATTAAAGATTCCTGCAGCAGGTCGCGAGTTAATTATGCATGAGAAATCGCTCCATATTTCAATCATTACTAGGAAACTGTACTTTCGGCATGTCTTGGTTCTTTCCGCGGAGGAAACAACTTCTCAACCAAATCGCACACTGACATTGAAAGGTTTGCCGATGGTTGGAATTTTGGGCTTAATGTCGCTAACCGGAGATAATTGCACGTGCTGACAAATTAATTATTTACGATATGGAACATTTCAGCATATGAATGGCTTTCTTATTCGAAATGACTCGTTTCATTTCAGTCGCTCATACTGCGGTCTATTTTCACGGATAGGCACTATTTGGCTTTTCTGTTTTGCCGTAAAATATGCTCAATTCAAAGCAATTAATTGTAAGATTATGTGTATAGCTGTTTTAAGTAATACGACAATAAGTAACACGACAATCGTGATAGTAAAGATAAAAAAATCCCGAAAATTTAAGACTGTCAGTTTTCAGTGTCGGTAATCATGGTTTTTAAAATCTCATCTTTATAGAAAAAGGTCAAAATTTTCACGTCGGTAAATGAGAAAGCTAGTGTTTCGTGATATCATGCCAAGTGTCTCAGTAACTCGAGCTAAAAATAACAGATTACGGTAATAAATAATCTTGTAAGCAGTGTCACTTATCGCAAACACTTGTGTACACGAACTGAAAATGGGGAAAATTCGCTAGATCGTGTTTCATAATATTTACACGTTCGTTTAGAAAAGTCTAGGTTTGTTAAGATTATGTTGCATTGCGAAAACAACGAGTGTCAACAAATTTTCAAGCGAAAGTTTTCTGTCTTCGCAAACTTTCGGCATCTCTTGTGCCACTTACCAAGCAAAAATTCCAATTAAAAACAGGTGCATGGTATCACAGCGAGATTACTTTGACAAACCAGTATTTGATTTCTTCCTGAATTGAACGTAATAACAAAGCTATTGTTTTCTTATTTTGTTTGGCCGTTCAAGTGCGATTTGTTTCATTTACGTCAAGAATGAAAACGGAAACAAATTATTTCACCGTGAAGAGTATGTTTAAGACCGAATTTCTCGCAGTCGTTTTATTTGCTCGCACTTAAAATATAAATAATAACTTTTGTTGAACTTATTTATGAAAAAAGAATGCCGTAGTAGCAAGAAATTAAAATTTGCGTGTATACACACTTATGTAATTATGCCAAGCATTCCAACCTTTTGGAGTGACACCGCCGTCAAGACATTCGAAATCGCCGATAATTACTGATAAATAAATTCCACATGCATGGGTGCCGGCGAAGCGCGAGACCTCCCTATTGCTGTGAAAATGCGTGTGTTTTAAACTTACTCCAATGTATTTGAAATTACAAATAGTGTAAGGGCTTTTATTGGTTTTATCTGTTTCTTTATGAGTTTATTATCAACACTGAGCTTGAAAAGATTCTTCTCACAGAGGACAGAGTGGCAGCTTTGTCCGTGTTAAAAAGGGGACTTTGAAGGTCTAGAATTTTTCTTGGTTGAGAGAGGCTCAGTGGTTTGAAACAGCCTCTAAAGTGATGATTGTTTCCAGAAGAATTAAGGAACTAAAGTTTAGTAAAAACCTAAGGTGTTTCTTAATTCACCCTGGAAGCAGTGCCTCTTGAAAGCGTAGTATGGTGGTAGTCATAATACTGTCGTAAATTCTCTGTTTTTTTAATATTTGCAACAGGTGTTTATTAAAAGCCGTTTTATCATGAACGGAGTGTGCGTAGTATGGAAGGGATGGCTAGATCTCCAAAGACTTGATGGCGCTGGCTATTTAGAGTTTGATGAAGATAAAGCCAAAGTAAGCCTATTAACAATACAACTAACATCTTTTTTGACTTTTCTACTCTTTTAATGTTGTGTATTTCTACTCATTATCATAAGTCAAAACATCTGTGTTTGTTGAGATGTATTCCATGCAACTACATTGTATCAATTCACCCTGGGTGGTTTTTCCTGCTGTTTTTTGATGACCAGATTAATTGGCTGATTACACAGGAAAAGGTGTAATCAAAAATAGCTGGAGAGTCATGCATTTCCGATGGAAAGTAAGCAGGAGACTTTTGGGAGATAAGATAGTAGTGATTGTGAATTTCATCACATTGCAATCATGGTGCACAATGTATCAGGAAGCACTGAAATAATTCAGGAATGTGTTTTGTTCTAACAAGTTATTAGTCATATAGTTTTGATAATTTCATTTGTTATGCAACCTGCCGTGAATATGCTATGGTTGCATGCAATTCATTTTAATGAACATTTTTTCAGACAAAGGGTGAAAAATCAACAAAAACTTCACCATTTCTAATGAGCTATTTCAAGTGCTTGCTTAACCTCTTGGCATCATGTTATAGCTAAATAAAGCTAAAAATCACTTAAACTGACACAGCTTCTAAGTGCTTTATGTTTTACAGACACTGTCAATTAGCCATTGTCTAGACTTTGTCAGTTCGTTTTACAGAATCCATTCTCTCATAAGAATGATAAGAATTACATTTTGTATACATGAACACCTGCTTCAGTGGAATCTCTATTATAGAGCAGTCTGCCCTCAGGAAGGGAAACTGACTGGAGTTTGAAAAATTTTTACCAGATATTATTAGCACAATGTATGAGCAGGGGGGCAAATTTGGTTATCACTGCTGTGAATAATTACCAAATCATGAATTCTACAAACTTGAACTTAAGTTGTGTAAACTCATGAGTGATAATAGTTCTTCAGAAAATGGGTACAAATTTGCTTCATTTTATTCCAAAATGACATGAAGTAAGTTATTTTACTGCAAGGGCACTAACGGGAACAAATAAGCACAGGGTACGAAGGGTTTTGAGTGTGTTAACACTTTAAGCCTTAATATTTACACTCACATTTGGGGGGCGGGGGTACTCCCTATCAGAGGCCTATACACTGGGAGCTTGCCCCAAAAGGAATACCAGTTTAAGACTTTTAGATCTTGAGAATTTCATACTTTTTAAGTCTAAGGATGGGTAGGAAAATCTGTAATTATTTTAGGTATTTAAAAAGGCATTAAAATATTTTAAACAGACGCACCTTAGCTTAAATATCATTCATTTACTTTGTCCCAAAGTATTCTCTAGCAGAAATTTAAAAAGGGTAACACTTTCCATGGAGAGTATAAGAATGTCTGTCAAAATTGCTACAAAGAGGTATAAGTGTTTAGACCTTGGGGTAGAGCCTTGATGTAAAAAGCTAAACTGAGTACATCCCCCATAGCAGGCTTATAACATAGTTGTTGTTGTGAAAGGTTTGAACCCAGGAGTCATTTCAAAAGTAGGTTGAGTTTGATCATCTGTTGTTGTTACTTTCAATTTAGTCTGAAGACAAAGTAATGAGAGAGACATTAGAACAAGCAAAACGGCGAGTTGCTGAATTTGAAGAAAGGCAAAGACAGTGGCGAGAAGAACAACAGCGTAAAGAGTCTGAGGCAAGTAGCCATCATCGTATCAACTATAGGTAAATGCCTGTGAATGGTTTGAACATTCTCTTTCTTTTTACTTTCTATATTGTTATATTAGTTGTTCTTATACATGTACAGTCGAACCCTGTTTCATGGACAACCGCTTAATACGGACACCTTGTTATTACGGACAGTTTTCTTTGTCCCAGGGGAAAGCCCTTACATTTTCTCTACATTCAACCTGCTTAATACAGACACCCGTTAACGTGGACAACAGACAACTCTTTTCTTGCCCAATCAACAGCTTCTCATATTAAGTCAACCTCGCTAATGCTGACACTTTATTCAGTTGTGTGCTGTAATAAACCTCTCCTTTTTGACGATAAAACCTTCAGTTGAGATCATGTTGATGTTTCTAGCGCTACAGTACAGTACCAAATAGGATTTATTGTGGACGTCAATTTTATAGACTATTTTGACATCCAACGAGTTATGCAGAGAACAGGTTTTGATTATGAAATGTATAATGAGCGACTTTTTGAGACTTTTGAGTGTTTTAATGGACAGTCCACAGAATAACGGCTTAATGACCGTAAGAGATGTTAAAGTCGACGATGCTAGTGTTCTGTGTTATTTCTCTAGTATTTTGTTCAAATAAAAGGTGTATAAACAATATGGCCCACTAAATACAGACACTTTCTATGCCCCCCTTGGTGTCCGTATGAACAGGGTTCAACTGTATATCTGATCTGCAGATTATGCCTTTCACTTGATCTTGATACCATTGCTAAATACTGAGGGCTTTAATAAAAGTCATAACTGGCCGGCCAGACTAGTCATTTTAAAATGAAATGCAGTTGAACTTCCTGAAAGCAACCACCCATCATTGCATGAAAAATGGAAGGAGAGCCAAAAAAAGGAGGAGGGGAGGGGGAAGGAAGGAAGCATTTTATCGGTCAATTTGTGAAAGCTGATGACAGTATCAAATTTCGGTGCATGCACTCAGGCATGACAGGCCAGGTGGGTGGGTTTCAAAATCGTGGGGTTTGTCTGCAAGCATTGCCTTCCTTTCTTCCCCATCCCCTCCCCGCTCTTTTACTCACCCCACTTTTGTGTCATCTTTGATGCTCATTCCTAGTTCTTTGCACAGAAACTGCACGGAAGTGCTTGCTACACAGTCTAATTGAGGTTTGAGTGTATTAGGCTTTTTTTTCTTGTGAGTTTTGGCTCAAAACCATCACTGATGAGCCGACTAGGCAGTGATGACTGGACAAAAATGTCCTGCAAGACTCATTTTACTAGGCTTTTCTGGTTAATTGTGAAATTCTCTTTAGGACTGGACTGGTCTGGCCCGACAGTTCTAGCTGGCCCCAGTTGTTCAAAAGATGGATATTACCACCCACAGGATAATTCACTATTCAGTGGATACGTTTATTAGGAAAACCAATTTTGCATTTTCTAAGGGGTAGAGATATAACCTGGAGGATAGTACCATTCACTGTTTGAACAACTGGGGCCAGACTAATGATAAGTGCTCTCAGAAAGGGCAGGGAAACATGAACCGATAAACTTTGAACTGATACTTAAAATCAAAAAAGGTGTTCAGTAGATTATCACCATATTCTGTAGAATTATGCAGCCATGTGTTTATAGGTAGGCATGTCCCAAAAACAATCAGTTTTACCAGTAATGTGACCCTTGATTATGTTTCATCAGTCAACTTGGTTAACATGAACTTAGTACTATACAGTGTCATTTTCCCTTGATTCAAATTTTCCTGTCAATTTTAAACTCTCTTTTGAGGGGCAGTCAATAACATCAATGAAAGTGAACTAACTTGTACATGTCCTTCAATTCCTCCACTTACATGTATACCAATTACATGTATGGAAAATTGTGAGACTTTAGAAGTTAACCTAGGGACCCATAAACCTTAATCATGGCTGTCGTTACTTAGCATTGGAGATGTTACAAACACCAAGAAACAACCCCTCAATGGCATAAAATGCAAACTGATTTGAAGTAGCAGAGAACTCACAAGATTCATTTAACTTGTTTCAGACAAAACTAAGAGGTCACTCAGCAAATGGAACTAAAAAATAGCAAGGATGAGACTGGTGACAGTATAATATTATATCAATACCAGCTATATTAGAGTTAGAACAAGTTGTATAGAAAATATTAAGTAAATGAGGTTCTTGACCTCAATATTATTAATTAAAAAATAAAAATATTGCTCAATTAAGCATATCCTTCCAGCACTAACAGTAACAAACATTATACTCAATAATTATTATTTTTTGCATTCATAAGATCAATATAAAAATTGTCTCATTCAAAAGAATGTTGAACACCCACTCCTCTGGGTTTTTAATTATCTTTTGTGTTTTGCTTGTTTGTTTTTCTTTACCATTTTAATGTTTTGATCACACTCACACGAGAAACCCAATTCTTGTGACCAGGAATAATAATGATCAAATCTCTAGGAGAGAGCATTGGTTTCTTTTTTTTTTGAAAAGTGAAAAAGTGATGAAAACTGCAATGAACATCAATAAAAACTGAAAAACCACTGATAGACTTGAATGATAAAAAGAGCAAATTCACAGATTCCATTCTAGTTTTTGTCTAAATTTATTGACAACCTTGCGGTGTATTTTTTTGGGCAAGCAAGCACTTGGTATTTCCTGCATATAGTCACCAGGTATAACTTTAAAGCAGAAGTAGAGGAAGATCAGTGAGACACAGAAATTTGATCAGTAGGGTAGACATAGGGCTAGAGAATTCAGTACAGGTGGAGGAGGGGGAGGAAATCACATGTTGTAACAAATCTCCCTCCCTCCCTCCCCCTCCCAACTCATTTGACTAGTGCACCACAACCAGAACAAAATTTGGTGCTGGCCCATCCCTAGAGAAGGCTTACCCTACCTGGTAGGTTGTCTTATATAAGTGTAAGATACAAAAACTGAATTTTCACAAATTAAAGGAAAAACTACATAGGATAATTTAGAGAGAATGTATTGATCAAATACAGTTATGCCATAATTTCAACATTAAATTCCTTAGTCAGTACAGCAACATTATTTTCTTTGTTTTAAAATAGGGTTACCTGTTTTAAGCCTTTTTTCACATATTTTGTTCTTTTTTTTTTTAATTAAAATTATTTTCATGCACCTTTTTTACTAAGTACAATGTAAACTAAGGATAAGTCATTAATATTACTAGTCATGATTAGTTGTAAGTTATCACCTTTGAAAAACATGTGAAACTCAACAACTATTAATTTTGGTCATTTTTTAAAAATTATTTAAACAAAATGACAAAAATTAATAGTTAAGTAACACTGCCATGGTTAATTTTGTGTGTCAAGAAAACAAAGCACTGGCTAGCTGTGATAAAAGCTACCAAAAATTTTTAATTCTGTCCTTGAAATATAGGTTTTAAATTTCAAAGTTGTTCACATGTTTTAAAAGGTGCAGTAACCTATATTTTACTGTCTGAAAAATGTAACTAAAAATGGGAAAGTCTTTGGGAAGAACACCAGTGGTATTGACACAGCTTCCTATTATCCCATGACTCTGAAAATGGAGTCTGTTATTTTTATAGTTATAAGCAAGACTATCCTTTTCACCTGAGAGAGAACAGCTGACATTAGCCTATGCCACCACTGGTTTCCCTGTGCAATGACATCTGAGGATTGAAGAAGTGTACAAATTCCAAACCGATGACGTGTCACTACCCAGATCTAGATGCTGGTTCTGATTGGTTGTTGCAATCAGAAGCATTACACAGATCTGGGTAATGGTGCATCATCAATATGAAATTTCTACACTTGTTTCTCAGATGTCACTTGGCAGAAAAGTAAAGTGGTGGTATTGCAAAAAAGTGTTAGCTTTCTTCTCAAGCTAACTAAAAGTTTTTTCTTCACAGACTGACATGGTGTTTTAATTTTAAACCAATTGAATAATAAAATTCAAGGTAAACTATCTGAACAGAAGTGCAGTCAAAATGTCAATCTAAAATTTTACCCCTGATTTTTACTTTAAAACTACAATCAAGGCTTTTAGCCACACAAATATGCAACATGGAATAATTTTTTGGTGTGTGTGGTTAAGTATCAGTGCATTCAAGAGGTAACTTAACATTTTAACATTTTAGTTTGCTTTGCTAAAATTTCATGGATGTGGAATACAGTGGAACTCCGTCAATGTGACCACCATTGGGTCGTAAACACTTGGTCGTAATAGTGAGGTGGTGGTATTACAGGTCTTCAAAGTATTAAAGTTAATTAGTGTTTTTCATGTTAGGGTCAAACGAATGTGGTGGTAATAATGAACTGGTCATAATAAGAGGGTGGTCATATGGCAGAGTTCTGCTGTAGCATACTCAACTGGTATAAGATTCATCAAAACAGGTTTTGCAACCTTATTATCTCACCATACAAAGCTGTTGAGCTTCCATAGGATTTAGTTAAAATAATATATGAATTTGAAAGTATATTTAGGTTATTTAACATTTATTTAAGGCCTTTGACGAGCATAAAGCGTCGTAAGGAGTAAAGGCAGTGATTATTTACTCTGCTGTTAAGATATAAGCAGTGTTATTCGTTTCATGCGCAGTTTCAGAGAACATTTTAATTGAAAATGTCAGAACCAGTATTAAAAGGTTTTGTAGTAATGAAAAACTTGCTGTAAACAAGTATAGAATTTTTATGTATTGGAAGAATAATAATACTACTACTATAAACTATGCATATGCCATGAATGTTCTGTTTGAGTATACAACTATTAATTGAATAATACTCTGAATAAATAATGATGCAATTGAACATTGTATTTGTGAAAATCAATTATTGTAGTATTTTTTTATGATATTATGGCCAAATCGCCAAGCGGGCAAGATGAAGAAAATTGTGTGTTCTGATTGGCTACCCCACTTCCCACTTGGCATTTCCCGCATTGGTCCCGCAAGAAAAAGTACTCTTTTTATGGCTTTTTGGCTATACAATAGATCCTTTATTGACCAAGCTTGTTTGGTCAATATAGCTGTATATTGGCCTCGTT